CAAACTAACGAGCATCAAACACGTCCTGCTTCATATCACACAACGGAACCAACAGACAAACCAACGAGCTTCAAAAACATCCAGCTTCATAACACACAACGGAACCAACAGACAGAGCTTCATATCACACAACGCTATCACACAACGGAACCACACAACGACAGAGCTTCATATCACACAACGGAACCAACAGACAGAGCTTCATATCACACAACGGAACCAACAGACAGAGCTTCATATCACACAACGGAACCAACAGACAGAGCTTCATATCACACAACGGAACCAACGGAACCAACAGACAGAACACACAACGAACAACAGACAGCTTCACACAACGGAACCAACAGACAGAGCTATCACACAACGGAACCAACAGACAGAGCTTCATATCACACAACGGAACCAACAGACAGAGCTTCATATCACACAACGGAACCAACAGACAGAGCAACATATCACACAACGGAAACGGAACCAACAGACAGAGCTTCATATCACACAACGGAACCAACAGACAGAGCTACATATCACACAACGGAACCAACAGACAGAGCTACATATCACACAACGGAACCAACAGACAGAGCTACATATCACACAACGGAACCAACAGACAGAGCTACATATCACACAACGGACAGAGCTACATATCACACAACGGAACCAACAGACAGAGCTTCATATCACACAACGGAACCAACAGACAGAGCTTCATATCACACAACGGAACCAACAACCAACAGACAGAGCTACATATCACACAACGGAACCAACAGACAGAGCTACATATCACACAACGGAACCAACAGACAGAGCTACATATCACACAGCGGAACCAACAGACAGAGCTACATATCACACAACGGAACATCAAACACGTCAGAGCTACATATCACACAACGGAACCAACAGACAGAGCTACATATCACACAACGGAACCAACAGACAGAGCTACATATCACACAACGGAACCAACAGACAGAGCTTCATATCACACAACGGAACCAACAGACAGAGCTACATATCACACAACGGAACCAACAGACAGAGCTACATATCACACAACGGAACCAACAGACAGAGCTTCATATCACACAACGGAACCAACAGACAGAGCTACATATCACACAACGGAACAGAGCTACATATCACACAACCAACAGACAAAGCTTCATATCACACAACATCAACCAACAGACAGAGCCACACAACGCCAACAGACAGAGCTTCATATCACACAACGGAACCAACAGACAGAGCTTCATATCACACAACGGAACCAACAGACAGAGCTACATATCACACAACGGAACCAACAGACAAACTAACGAGCATCAAACACGTCCAGCTTCATATCACACAACGGAACCAACAGACAAACTAACGAGCATCAAACACGACTAGTTTCATATCAAACAACGGAACCAAAAGACAAACTAACGAGCTTCAAAAACATCCAGCTTTATACCACACAACGGAACCAACAGACAGCATAACGAGCATCAAACACGTCCAGCTTCATATCACACAACGGAACCAACAGACAAACTAACGAGAGGACAAGATATAGAGGGAGTGGAACAATACCTCGGGGCAGCAGTGTGCAATGAAGTCAGTGGTAGGAAAGATACTAAGTACATACTAAAAACTAGAAGTACCTTTATACGACTGAAGCATGTTTGGGACTAAAATGACATATCAAGGGGAACAAAACTTAGGCTATACAAAGCATTAGTAATACCAGTTTTATTATATGAATGTGAGACGTGGAAAATGGATCAAATGGATGACAAGTTGGTTGATGTTTTTCACAAATGTCTCAGAAAGATTTACACAGTACCAAGATCACGTTAGGACATAAGGCCTGTTGGGACAAAGATGAGACCATTTAGCGAGGAGATATATATTGATTGGGTAAAATTAAAGGACATTGCAATGTCTTTGTGACTTGTTCACATACGCTCTTCAATAAAGCCAGCCTCGTATGAAAACAAAAACAAGTCAGCCAACAGAGGGCGCAGCTAGTTCCCCTAGGTATTCCAATAGTCTGTGGGAAGATCTTACCACCAAACTCGACAAAGATGTTATCAACTAGAAACTCGATCCTTTATCTGATTTCGTCCTCTGTATATTTCTTCTTTGTCCTATGGATAGCATTTGCGATAAAGCCAGTATTTACATGTATATATTATACAAAGTTTGCAGAAGTTCAAACAAGTAAGGATTAACAGTTTCAATTCATATTGTGATGGTATATTTATCAAAGTTTCCAATTTAAAGTAGTTGGTGAATCTGGACATTCAAAATATAATGTATCGCATCCTCAAGCATCTAACAGTGTAATAAAAACAATATTATAATAAATTTATTTGATGTTTCTGCTTTCAGTGAGAATAAGAAAAGACAATCGATCGGTCCTGCTGAAGACACATCGATACAAATTACTCCAAGTTTTCTTTACGTTTATTTATTTGTTTATTTTTACTTTCGCTGTTCATTAAATTTGTCAGAAGAAGAACCTGACTTATCAGCCCATGGAATCGACCAAAGCAAGATTCAACACGTATACACGTGCCACTTATGAAGGCTGATCGATAAGTTGTACACCTTGTACCGTAATGCAATATGTCCACTAAAAGTCTCGTAAACACTTAAATAAGAGGTTCACAGCCGTCATATATGTACTTCATGTAATACGAAAGTAATGCACTCAGTAGTTCATGTTATAATAACAAAACGTCAGATTTTAGATAGGTTTATGTGTCAACCCATTCAGTATAACTGCCGTGTACTTAACTTCCTCACGCAACTGGAATATAAACAACGAACAATTTATCTTTTCATGAATTCGTTCATGGAAAATGTTTCGAGGCCTTAACTTTCCTCGATGGGAAGGTCTGAGATCCAAGCATAATATGGTAGGGGATTGTACTACCAAATAGATTTCACCTCAAATTATCAGTACAGAAATATATAACAAACATCGACATAGATATGTACTACGGAAAATCGTCACAGGTGATATACATAAATAAATTATAAAACCATAGATTCGACAGAAAAACTTAAAAATGTAATTTATACTCTACGACACCTGTCTTCGACACCTCTGTTCCCAGCTAACCTGTTGCGTTTTCTGTCTTTTCAAACTGTATAACCTTCGGACAATTGTAATCATGAAAATATAGTTCATATATATTTAATAATATTTTATACATACACATCACCGAAATCAAGTAATGATAATCGATTACGTCCTACAAGCACAATAGGAACTCGCGTGCACCACGAAGAGGCGTTAGGAAACGACTTCCGTTTTAACATGATCACAAAGAATTCCTTGATTGAACGTAAGTCAGGCGGATATCCTTGCAGACGTTTAGTAGGAAAGATATATAAACCCATAACATTAAAGGTGTTTTCACAGAAGAGAAATTTTACTGAGTAGAACTCAGCTTTTTTGTTGTTCTAGAGAAACTGGATTTGCTACTCTTACTTCACAGCCTTATATCATCTATCAGATGTTGGACCATTTTAAGTCGTGTTACAAATTTTCTCCAAACATTACAATGAAAGAGAAGTGAAATTAGCGGTCAATTAGTGGTCAATTAGTGGTCAATTAACGGTAGCATATCTACGATACCATGGCATATTTGTAGTTTTACAGGGAGAGTTGCAATATTACATGATAATACCCTGTTTACCTATCCACACTATTTAGACCTATTGCGTTCTCCTTAAGTGCTATTCTATTGTAACACTGGTAAATAGCAGCCGCAGTATAGCTCTATGATAGAGAAAACTTCTCTTTATGTCGATCGGTTGTACGCCAGGAATCTCGGGTTCGAACCCTAGCGAAGGCTTTGAAATAAATAATGACATCTGTTACATAAAAACAATTATGTACTATGTACTTGTGTTCAATACTTCTATCAATACCTTTATACATGTAGACAGAAATGTACCATTGATGCTCTCACTAAATCAATCTATAAGACATTTGTTTGTTTGGTCTACATCAATGTGCATTTACTTTATATGTATGTGGTCATCAGAAATGTCGTTGCCGTTTATAACCGATAGTATGATGGTATACCATACGGTCAGCGTCAGTTGATAGTCCAAAGGGTTCTGACTATCTATCTGTGTTGGTAGTGATATAAAAAATAACATTGTATTGACAGAACCCTGAACATTAATCATCATTTTATAGACTAAAGGGTTCTGACTATCTATCTGTGTTGGTAGTGATAAAACATAACATTGTATAGACAGAACCCTTTACACTAATCAATTTTTCCAAATGTTATCAATGCGAAGGAAAATACTTCTAGTTTTAAAAATAGACTGTTTATGTTGCAATTTCATATTTCCCAACAGGTTCTTGTTATCTTTCTGGAAAATGCCAGAAAATGTGTTGTCAAGCTCCAGACAAAAAATGTCTGCTAATCAATTATTACAGATGTATTCTAGCCATAATATGAATTGAACTTATTCAACTCACTCACAGAAGTACATAATTTAGTTCTAAAAACTACAAAAAGAAGTATATAGCGAGTTTTATCCTCTCAAGTGTCCTTACATTTTTAATGTAAAACGTTTTACACTGTCAGCAAGTATTTTGAAAAGTCATTTGAAAAAAAAATAGTCTTGATGAATCGTAGACATAGATGTTATCACCTCTGTCTACAAATTCATTATGGCGAAAATGTCACAATAATTGGTACATAACGATGGTGAGTCAATAAGTGTAATGAGAGATTCTCCATGGAATCCATTAGTATCTCAATAATTAATTTTCATGATAGCTCACGTAACTATAAAAACGTATGTTGTTATGAAGTGTTGTAAATAAGTAAATACATCCATTCCATCACTAATTCATTGCTGACACCAGAAGAAAAACCCGTCACTTTAAAACCTGAAAGAACGTATAACCGATACATGCAAAACAAGTATCATTGTCTTTTTCTAGAAGCTGTGAGCTCGGTTCTATCATGGCTAGTTTTTCATTGTTTCTGCTGACAGTAACGGTCATCCTGAAAAGATTTTCACCTGTAGACGGACATGGTTTGTGTTTCAGTAACATACACCAGGAGCTGCACAGCTACTATAAGACTTTCATGCACTTAGAGACCATTGGAGTATTACAGTGTATCAAGGAATGTAATAAACACAGATTGTGTCAGAAAATTAATCACGACAGGGTACAGCTCACATGTGACCTCATGATGACGTATGCGGAAGAAGGAAAAGTGACGTCACTTCTGGATGTGGCGTCTGTACAGGTGAGTTTAACAAAAGAGTACTTCATGTCTATTTTTTTCTTCACATATTAGAGATGGATATCCCTTCCACTAAAACACGTGTTTCTGAAGTTTTCGTAGATGTTAAATAGAATTACAGTTAAAACAATAAGATTTACAATACATGTATATAACAATAGACATACAACAGCTTTAACACTATACCTATCTTCTCTATATTTGTTCCTCAATAATACTATCAAACACTGCCTGGGTTATCATGTCTACCTTGACGAAAAAGTTTTTTTGTTTGTTTGTTTTGGAAATATCATGAACCATACCTTTCCTGCATATCGTAAATTGTAAATTGTATATGTTTTAAACTGTATTTAACACATGCATGCAGAACCTATCATATAATATGCTGTCACGCTCTAATTTTGTCGCATTGTGATGGTGCGGTACTACCGCACCGAGTAGGACCCCCCCAACCCTGCACCCTCCCCCTCTCTCCCTTCACCTTAACCCCAACTCCCCGTTCTGTCACATTGTGTTGATAACTATTTTGATCACACAAAATGAACCTGAATGAGACGTCAAGTAAGATAGGTAGACAACTCTTGGAGATAACTTTTTAACGGCTATCAACTTTTGTTATTGCGAGAAGATGTGTCCTATGCTTACATTTCATCTTTCAGATCTAAGCAAGATTTCAAAGATGAATCAGAATTTCTTGGACATAACGTTTAAATTTGCATCGTTACAACTTTCAGATGGACAATTCTAAGTGTTTACCGAACAGTTGTTCAGAGACTCAAGTCTGTGTCGACATGAGAGATGGTGGTCATACATGTCTTGACCAAGGTATGTATCATACTATTTGGAAATTTACGTCCTCGAAACAGTTTACACTTTACACTTAGAGCAGTTGCTCAGGACATAGGAGATCAGTTGATGTATGAGGACAGTAGTATAGGAAATAGGAGGGAAGACACACAGAATATATAAAGATTACACATCGAGGGATGTCAACATCTCATTCGGAATACACGACAGCAAACATTCATTTTCGTGCACTGAGTAACACAACCGAAGTCATGACAATAAAATATCAGATATTTGTTTGTCCTTTAACCTACTTATCACCTAAGAAACACAGCCGGAGTCATGACAACAAGATATCAGATATTTGTTTGTCCTTTAACCTACTTATCACCTAAGAAACACAGCCGGAGTCATGACAACAAGATATCAGATATTTGATCGTACTTATATATACTCATCACATGATTTTTTAAAGTGATTTGATTGATTTATTGAGAATCGTTACCTTCCATCAGCTGTTTGTCCTGCTCCGGACTGGGTGTTGTACAGCAACAAGTGTTACTTCTTCAGGCAATCCCGTAGTGACGCAGACGAAAGTGAGGTAAATAAACATTTTGTTTCTTTTTCGTCCATTGCTTTCTAACCGTTATGAACTCGTTATATTAATGAAGAACTTTCCTTTTGAATATACCCGTCAGAAATGGAAATCAAGAACACAACAAAGTTGATTTCAGTCACTGATCTCGATGTATTCCCACAGCATAGAGAACTTTCCACCAAGCTGTAAGATAGGCGTGATGGCTTCAGTATCGTGAATATTCAGTTTTAGATATCAACACCCCTGCATCCACAACCTAAGGTGTTTGTATGTCACGGTTCATTTGATATTCAAGGGTCTGTTCCCAGTATACCGATTTTCATACAAGACATCGTCAGCATACGGACAAGTTCATAACGTAAAAATAGAGGGAATTTTTTTCTGTCATCATAGTGATCTTATTGCGAAATATTCCATTTCTTCGTAAGATATGAAGCTGGACGCGTTTAAAGCTCGTTAGTTTGCCTGTTGGTTCCTTTTTTTTTATCTCTTAATCTCATTTGACACCGTGACATTTCTTAATTTTAATGTATGAGTTACACGGTGGGCAACATCGATGACACTTACTCTTCCGAAACACCTGGTCTTATTCTTCTTGTACTTTTTCATAAGTTTCCGTGTTAATTTGTCTTTTGTTCATTTTTGCCATAGTTTCATTGAATTTTAGCATGGAATATAATTATGTTCACTTGGTGGTTTTTTCTTGTTGTTTTTGTGAATCATTGTGTTACACCATATAGAAGAAAAGTTTGAATCTGACTAAAAATCACCTGTTTGTAATTATTGATGTAGAATGTGTTGGGTAAGCTTGCCTCGCTGGAATCCTTAATATGAAATCAACAAATGAATCGGTTTGATGCTGTATGACAGTTGATAGGGTATTTAATAGTGTCATACATAGTGTATGAATCTAGTTCAAATTGTTTTATGTCCCATCAACATGTCGTTGTGTGCAAGGTGAGTGTGTTGAAGTGTGTATTTTGGGAGACTTTGATTTGAACGTGCAATTTTCCTTGCGATAGTGCGGTACTGAAACCTACTTTATAGTGCAATCACACCGAAGTATACTGCCGAAGGTCCCCAGCAGGACATCCCACCCGGTCACATTATGTTGACAACAAGTGAACCAGTCATTGTACTACTACAAGGCTAAAAGTTGATCAGACAGCAAAAACATAACTCTCATTTTAAAGGCTCTCGCGTACATCGCCCAATAGAAAAACAAATCAAAGCCTCCTCAATAGGGCGATCGTTCAACAAAGGACAAAAACTATATTACTGTATTAGCAAGGAAGGCTTAATTAAAGAAACTGTTTTTCTCCTATTTTTAAGCAGCTCTTTCTTCCTAACGTCTACCTTGATGCCATAGTACGATTGGCCTTCAGTGGTATGGAAGACAATGCATTACTGTTCAACGTATATGATACCACTTACATGTATTTTTTTTTTATTTTACAAAGGGTTTTTGTGGAGGGATGAATGCAAAGCTTGTGAGAATCGACAACGATGGAGTGAAAGCTTTCCTGAAATCAGAAATAGATAGACGAGGTAAAAACGCAAATTCTCATCATCAACATATCAATAACCTGTGCTTTCTGGTTTTTAAGAAGATGTTCTAAGATTTAACACATCTGAAACCTGGATTTGACGACTGTTAAATGTCAATTATTTCTATGAATATGATATCTCTCGACCTTATTCTACAAGGTCAATATCAACATCCTTGGCATGTTTACTTGCATGAGAAATAAGTTTTCAATCAGGATTTGAACATAAGACTATAACAGGGAGCTCTTTCAGTTGACAGTGAAGACCAACGGGTCTCCTATTTTAACTAGGGTTTACTAGTCTCGTGTTGATTGTAACTGTAAAACTTGTTTTCAATAATTTCATTTTTTGCAGCCGAAGAGATTTTTTTAACACGGGAATCATAATATATACTACAGCCATCTTGATTAACTTTTAATTTTAATGTTCATGTTATTGGTATTTTTGTTCGATTTTATGTTATCATTAAAAAACGCGAAAACGAAAACCCCTAAATATTATAAAAATTGAAGTGAGTTTTAATACACAAACAGATATATTTATATATATATATAATTATATCTCATTTTCAGGATTACCGAATATTTGGTTCCAGCTGTAATTGTGTAAAACTCCTCAGCGCAATGACCTGGATTGACGTCATTTGTTCAACAGATAGTTCATATACGGTGTGTGAAATTCATTACAATATCGTATAACTTTCTTTCTCGCTGATTATTTCATGGAAATTTTGAAATGATTGGGAAAAGGATGAAACCAAAGGAATGATAACAGCATCAATGTTTGATGGAATTTTACTATCGGGAATTGAAATGTGAACTCCGATGACTTCTACCTATTACCTATTGTCTTCTTACATGATCGTAAGAGGTTACTAAACTTGGGGTATTTTTCTCTCTGTTTATTTGGGGGTTTTCTATATATAAAGAGAGAGAGAGAGAGAGAGAGAGAGAGAGAGAGAGAGAGAGAGAGAGAGAGAGAGAGAGAGAGAGAGAGAGAGAGAGAGAGAGAGAGAGAGAGAGAGAGAGAGAGAGAGAGAGAGAGGCGGAAAGAACACTCAACCTCCTTGTTGAGAATATGGATGGATCTCACGACATGTTACCATATCCGTCACTTAACGGTCAATTGACAACCATGTCCATGTTCGTCCTTTACACTGCCGAACAATAACCAGTGCATATGGAAATATTTAAGTTGATTTGATCCCCTACATACCGCTTTATTTCTGACAGGTCATTGCGACTTAATATCCCGAAAATGTAAGGTCAACCAGCCCAAACGCGACGATATGAAATGAAACAACACTTCAACAGTTTGTAGATACAAAGGATTACAGCACAAATATATTTTAGCGAACTGAAGTAAAAATTTATGTAAACAACAGAGGTTATCGTTTTACGGTGTATCCATGTACCTCTGGATCAAAGCTGAGAAATCTGTTTCTTTAAGCAACAATTTTTATGTAACTTAAGATGTTGTAGTACCGAATTTGGACGGTTTGTTATAGGGGAATTATTTCAACAATTTGTTGTGAATTCAATTTTTGTAGGTATCTAGGAAATGCCCATTATTTATTTTTAAAAACATTGTTGATGTAATCAATGTGAGAGGTGAGTGTAGGAATGTACTAGACATTTATATTTATTTATTATCACTACGTAGATGTATTATGGACCATAAGCTAGTATTGAATTTCGATATTTATATATACAGAATGGTTCATACCGCATGTAAAATGTTCAGGAAATTTAACCAACGCTGCCAGCAGTTTTTTATTGGAAAATACAAAAAACCCATCCGGTCCAACGAACCAATAAGCTTATTCCGTGACGAAGCGCCCGTCCATCCTTCCGTCTATTCACGATTTTCTTTAACTATACTGTATAGTTGAATTGTGGACTACCAGCCCTCAGCCTTTTAAGCTTTATATCGATGCCTTTGTGTATTGAAATATAAACTATACAAGAATTATCCTGAATTTTAAAATCAAGCTCACAGAATGGACTTTATAGCGTAAACAACAATGACAGCTTCTCACTAAGCCGTATTGATTATTGTATATTCATAACAGTATGCGACATATCACTTTCTGTTATATATTATATTATGAGTTTCTAAATTTGATGTCCGAACGTGAAAGAATAATTGTGGTATGCTCCATAAACCTATGCTTTGCTGTTTTCAGCCTTTACAATAGAATGTAAAGCAAAGCAGAAGTCATGGTGACCTAGTGACCTAGTGACTTAGTAGGCGAGAAGACATCTTACTTTTGTACCTATTTCACAAATTTGCTGTGTGAACATGTGATTTAGATATGGACAAGAAATATGTGTTTTTTTTACTGTTTGTTTGTTTGTTTGTTTTTTTTCATTTTCTAAGGTTTGAGTCAAAGATCGTCATGATTACCTCGCATTGACCTTATTTTAGCAGAAAACACTTTCTCTTCCGGAACACCAGGTCTTTTTGCTCCCTTTGCTTTTACTCAGAGGTATTCGTGTAAAATCTGTCTTTTGTTTATATTTTCCCCTGGTTTTATGGGATTAAGAATATGTTAGCATGCTGGTATTTTCTTGTTCCGTTTCCGCTCCTTGTTCACATGTTGCAGCTATTTAACCATTATGATGTTGCAATAAAACGAGTCATCTTTCATAAATATGAAATATATTGTGTTCTTTTAAATGTTAACGTTCAAAGTAAAAGTAAAGTAGAAGTGACAATGGCCGCATTGTGATATAGTCAAGTTTAATGTCCAAATACGAGAGGGAGTAGCTTGGATTTGTCTTGAATACCTTATTAGCATACAAAAGTGAAGTGCGGATGTACAAGGTGCCCTCGTCTTTAGTCAAAGTGGGATGGGATAAGGATTCTTGATCAAATGGTACATGTAATTTGTTGTTGCTCAGCTGTATTTCATTCGCTTTCTATAATAACATTCCAGTGAGCATGTATCTAGACTGTTATAACTGCTTAATTTCAAAATTCATGTTTTAGTAATTTTCGTGTGTAACCCAAGTTGATTGGTTGAAATGCTATAGAGCCATAAATTGTCATCTTTATTACAAGCGTACTTCACTTCTCCATTAGTCGAGAATTATTTATAACACCTAATTATCTGTTAGACAATATGGGGTTAGTATGTATTTTCAGTATTGTTGTTCAATATATTCGTGGAAAGATGTTCAATTATGAAAAGGCAAAGCAACAAGCATTGTTCATCTCATGCTCCAATTATTCAATATATGTAGACAATAACTGTGGCTTTAACTAAGTTGAACTTTGTCCTGATAGATATTTGCACCTTTTTTACAGTTAGTTGGGTTTGTGGAACCGTCAATTGCTGGGGTCATTTTGAGGAGGGGTATCAATGTAAGACATTTGTGGTAAATTATTGACATTACCTAGGTAGTGGACGACCAGACTGACATTGTCTAGGTAGTGGACTACCAGACTGACATTGTCTAGGTAGTGGACTACCAGAATGGCATTGTCTAGGTAGTGGACTACCATACTGACATTGTCTAGGTAGTGGACTACCAGACTTACATTGTCTAGGTAGTGGACTACCAGACTGACATTGTCTAGGTAGTGGACTACCAGACTGACATTGTCTAGGTAGTGGACTACCAGACTGACATTGTCTAGGTAGTGGACTACCAGACTGACATTGTCTAGGTAGTGGACTACCAGACTGACATTGTCTAGGTAGTGGACTACCAGACTGACATTGTCTAGTTAGTGGACTGTCAGCCTGCCAAATGTCTAGGTAGTGGACTACCAGACTGACATTACCAAGGTAGTGGACTACCAGACTGATATTGTCTAGGTAGTGGACTACCAGACTGACATTGTCTAGGTAGTGGACTGTCTAGTTAGTGGACTGTCAGACTGCCAAATGTCTAGGTAGTGGCCTACCATTGTCTAGGTAGTGGACAACCAGACTGACATTGTCTAGTTAGTGGACTGTCAGCCTGCCAAATGTCTACCAGACTGATATTGTCTAGGTAGTGGACTACCAGACTGACATTGTCTAGGTAGTGGACTACCAGACTGACATTGTCTAGTTAGTGGACTGCCAGACTGCCAAATGTCTAGGTAGTGGACTACCAGACTGACATTACCTAGGTAGTGGACTACCAGACTGACATTGTCTAGGTAGTGGACTACCAGACTGACATTGTCTAGGTAGTGGACGACCAGACTGACATTGTCTAGTGCATATGGAAATATTTAAGTTGATTTGATCCCCTACATACCGCTTTATTTCTGACAGGACATTGCGACTTAATATCCCGAAAATGTAAGGTCAACCAGCCCAAACGCGACGATATGAAATGAAACAACACTTCAACAGTTTGTAGATACAAAGGATTACAGCACAAATATATTTTAGCGAACTGAAGTAAAAATTTATGTAAACAACAGAGGTTATCGTTTTACGGTGTATCCATGTACCTCTGGATCAAAGCTGAGAAATCTGTTTCTTTAAGCAACAATTTTTATGTAACTTAAGATGTTGTAGTACCGAATTTGGACGGTTTGTTATAGGGGAATTATTTCAACAATTTGTTGTGACTTCAATTTTTGTAGGTATCTAGGAAATGCCCATTATTTATTTTTTAAAAACATTGTTGATGTAATCAATGTGAGAGGTGAGTGTAGGAATGTACTAGACATTTATATTTATTTATTATCACTACGTAGATGTATTATGGACCATAAGCTAGTATTGAATTTCGATATTTATATATACAGAATGGTTCATACCGCATGTAAAATGTTCAGGAAATTTAACCAACGCTGCCAGCAGTTTTTTATTGGAAAATACAAAAAACCCATCCGGTCCAACGAACCAATAAGCTTATTCCGTGACGAAGCGCCCGTCCATCCTTCCGTCTATTCACGATTTTCTTTAACTATACTGTATAGTTGAATTGTGGACTACCAGCCCTCAGCCTTTTAAGCTTTATATCGATGCCTTTGTGTATTGAAATATAAACTATACAAGAATTATCCTGAATTTTAAAATCAAGCTCACAGAATGGACTTTATAGCGTAAACAACAATGACAGCTTCTCACTAAGCCGTATTGATTATTGTATATTCATAACAGTATGCGACATATCACTTTCTGTTATATATTATATTATGAGTTTCTAAATTTGATGTCCGAACGTGAAAGAATAATTGTGGTATGCTCCATAAACCTATGCTTTGCTGTTTTCAGCCTTTACAATAGAATGTAAAGCAAAGCAGAAGTCATGGTGACCTAGTGACCTAGTGACTTAGTAGGCGAGAAGACATCTTACTTTTGTACCTATTTCACAAATTTGCTGTGTGAACATGTGATTTAGATATGGACAAGAAATATGTGTGTTTTTTACTGTTTGTTTGTTTGTTTTTTTTTCAATTTCTAAGGTTTGAGTCAAAGATCGTCATGATTACCTCACATTGACCTTATTTTAGCAGAAAACACTTTCTCTTCCGGAACACCAGGTCTTTTTGCTCCCTTTGCTTTTACTCAGAGGTATTCGTGTAAAATCTGTCTTTTGTTTATATTTTCCCCTGGTTTTATGGGATTAAGAATATGTTAGCATGCTGGTATTTTCTTGTTCCGTTTCCGCTCCTTGTTCACATGTTGCAGCTATTTAACCATTATGATGTTGCAATAAAACGAGTCATCTTTCATAAATATGAAATATATTGTGTTCTTTTAAATGTTAACGTTAAAAGTAAAAGTAAAGTAGAAGTGACAATGGCCGCATTGTGATATAGTCAAGTTTAATGTCCAAATACGAGAGGGAGTAGCTTGGATTTGTCTTGAATACCTTATCAGCATATAAAAGTGAAGTGCGGATGTACAAGGTGCCCTCGTCTTTAGTCAAAGTGGGATGGGATAAGGATTCTTGATCAAATGGTACATGTAATTTGTTGTTGCTCAGCTGTATTTCATTCGCTTTCTATAATAACATTCCAGTGAGCATGTATCTAGACTGTTATAACTGTTTAATTTCAAAATTCATGTTTTAGTAATTTTCGTGTGTAACCCAAGTTGATTGGTTGAAATGCTATAGAGCCATAAATTGTCATCTTTATTACAAGCGTACTTCACTTCTCCATTAGTCGAGAATTATTTATAACACCTAATTATCTGTTAGACAATATGGGGTTACTGTGTAATTTCAGTATTGATATTCAATATATTCGTGGAAAGATGTTCAATTATGAAAAGGCAAAGCAACAAGCATTGTTCATCTCATGCTCCAATTATTCAATATATGTAGACAACAACTGTGGCTTTAACTCTGTTGAACTTTGTCCTGATAGATATTTGCACCTTTTTTACAGTTAGTTGGGTTTGTGGAACCGTCAAATTGCTGGGGTCATTTTGAGGAGGGGTATCAATGTAAGACATTTGTGGTAAATTATTGACATTACCTAGGTAGTGGACGACCAGACTGACATTGTCTAGGTAGTGGACGACCAGACTGACATTGTCTAGGTAGTGGACTACCAGACTGACATTGTCTAGGTAGTGGACTACCATACTGACATTGTCTAGGTAGTGGACTACCAGACTGACATTACCTAGGTAGTGGACTACCAGACTGACATTACCTAGGTAGTGGACTACCATACTGACATTGTCTAGGTAGTGGACTACCAGACTTCCAGGTAATGGAAGGTTTCCCTATCCGTGCACTTTTGTTAATTTTTCACCTTGAAGTCCTCAAGTATTATGGTAGATCATAAAATTCAAGTAATAATCGTTTCTGTTTTGTCCATTGAAGAAACGACTTAACTTAAAACCTATTTTTGGCGTTCTTTCTAACTCTTTTTTAACAATTTTTTTTCTATTGTCTCCCTTGACACTACGTCACGTTTGACCCTGTGAGAAAGGCAGGTTTGGGTTCAGTAACTTGGCCGAGACATTCCAGAGTCTTTAATATTGGTAGCTGCTACTTCCTGCTGAACACTCAGTATGGTGAGTGACAGGGTGGGTATAACAGAACACTCAGTATTGTGAGTGACAGGGTGGGTTGAGTATAACAGTTAAAGCGGGTTTTATTATGCATTGTCCCATAGTCTCATACGAACATATCGAAGCATCTCCGAAGCCTTTTTATTTTCGATTATTTTTTCTGACTTTTTATCAATATTGTAAAATTTCCTGATACATTGATCCAATGTATACGTTTTTATACATTTTTTGTGAAATGTTGCTATATTTCAAGATTTAAAAAAAAGATTATTATAATGATGATAATTCCATTTCAAAATTCTGCATAAACTGCAATCTTCCTGAAAATTCATTTTCCTTTTGTGAGAAGTCAATTTAAGTATATGAATCTCTGAGATTTTCGAGTATATTGTACAGAGATTTAAATACGCGATGTACATTTTGTACATTTATAAGAAATAGTGTAATTTTACTATTTTTTGAGATGAGAAAAATCGCGAAAATATATATTAAGGACCAGGAAAGATAGATTTGATATTAGAAAGTATAATTAATTTAATGACTTTCGTGAAAATCACATCCTTTTGTGTCCAGCTGTTGGATTAAACCAAAAGAACTAGATCTATCAAGGGGACACCCGTTAAGATATAGACCTGTTGAAGGTATGCTGTTAAATATGAGACATTCTGAATGGAATTGTTGTCTGCTCTCTCTCTGTATATATAACTTTATTTTTCTTAATATTAATAATATATATGTAACGAAATAATGAAATGAATGGCAAGATTTTTTTTTGTAATTATATGTGTTTAAAATTTCATTTGAATACCTTGAATGATCTGCATTAAGATTGCTAGCGTTGTCGATTACGTTCATGTCCATCTTGTTTTGTTCTCATCCTTTAGTTTCAAATATCTCAATTTATTGTAATTGACTTTGGAATGCATTTCAAGATATTTTGACACATTAATGATTATATAACTTAATACTTTCTTTTATATATTTTATATGTTTAAGATATCCAGGACATCGTGTAAGATATCAAAGGATGTTCATTGTGTAAAATCGTAAGAAGCTAAATATGAACTAAACATCCAGAGATGTCATGGTATTTTTGTGTGTGTTTTTAATGTGCTAATATCTTGATATTTATGTACTTTTAGATATAAATATAGCCTTATATTTTGGTAGGTATGCAGTTTTTAGCATCAAAGGAAGTTATAAATATCTCAAAATTTCTGAAAAGTATGTGTGATGTCCTAGATGTGTTCTAAAATTCAACTTTTCTCTATATCTGAAGTTGTTGTTAATTTCAAAATAAATTGTACTCTCTATACAAACTTGTTCGTTTCATAATGTAGGGGAGACAACTCTGACAGTGTTGGTAAGGTTTTTTTTAAAAAGTACTTCATCGTCATAGTGATCACATTGAGAAATATTATATTTCCTTTCACGATACGAAGCTGGACGTGTTTAATATTCGTTAGCCTGCCTGTTGGTTTCGTTTGTTATATCCTATTTTAGATTGCCATGCGGAAAGACGTTTATTAATGAGATAAATAACCCTTATCCTAGCATTCTTCACTAAATGACTGATATCCCAATCATTGGGGAAAATCGGCAAGTGAATTGCTTGTTCTTAAGTAAGGATATGCCACGTACGTAACTATTCAGTTGTTGTAAGATTAAGATATCTGGATGGATAAACACAATCTCGAACCATTTAACAAATTATTGGAAAGTCACAAAGTGTTTTTTCATGAATACGTTGTCACGAAGGTCTTGCCATCACTGTGATGTCTTGAAAACATAGTATCAACGGTAGGAATTCAGAAAAAAAAAACATACTAATCTTATTGGGCAAAATCTATCCAATTTTGCTTGTGTAATCGAAGAAACAACATTTTGGTTTTTAAGATGGACTATAAAACAGGCGGACCACGTGTCTTGATGAATACAACAGATTTAAGGCATTGAAATGATTTACTAAGAGATACCGTACTGTTACATCGGAATCACCTGTTTTGTTGATAGCCTTGGATATTGTAATTATGATAAAATGTGTACCTCAGATATGAAGATTGAAGCACTAAAGTTTTACATAGCCTTTCCTTTTTACGTATGTTTCTGATCTGGAGAGACCACCCCTTATTTTCTATTCTACATGATGGAAGAACTAAGTTTGACTCTTTTAAATCGTTCTTCTTCAAAATACGAACATCTAAAGTTATATCTTTAATATGAATGAATTATTAGGTTTTCAATTCCTTTAGTTAGACGTTCACTAAATTACACACAATGATATAAAAACGGTCACATCTTATTTAAGGTTTCCCGTTAATCTTTAGCTTAATCTTTACATAGTTTCTATCTATGGTATCAAAAATTATTATATTATCGTAATTTGCCGATCATGTCAACTTCGGTTTAAAATCTTATTTAGTTGGTCCAACAACATTGCCCAGGACGATCTCGAGTGTCAGTGAGTTGGGACTCTTTTTAGATACATTTTTGGAACAGTAATGGACATAAGACTAATATTTGAAATTTCCGTGACGTCATAAGACAATTTATTAGCAATATCGTCGTTTGTGATATGTCAGAACATATATGTGAACATTAGAATGCATCAAATTTCGCCTTAACATATTTCTGAAGCCACTAAGAATCACACACTAACCTCGCGTACGTACGGAGGCAGTCCTCAAACGATCATATCTGTGTAACGTTTCAATTCCTGAAAATGTTCCAGATTATCTCACATATTGCGGTTTTACATTGAAAACCAAACTACCCCATTCGATGATATGTATAAATAGGTAAGCAAACTTTTAATTATCAGATAGTGACGGATGCATTGGCCTTTAAGTATTCAGGCTATCTATGGGACAGATTGAAGTCAAGGTCAACTCATATAACATTGTACATCACTAGAGTCACGTATGCCTGTCATAAATATATTATAGAGAATGAAATAAAACAAACAAGTGACAACTGTGGAGGTAACATTAAAATTTTTATTCAAAAGAAAATGACCGACAAATCTTCATTCAGACCAGAGTTGTCTTACCTTTGTCTGGTGTTAATTCGAGTTTGTTAAATTAAACGTTATACATTGTGAAGCTTTGCTGATATTTTGGAATCAGTTTCACCTGGTGTTTACGTCTTTCACACCTATATGAATTGATTTATCGCGACCATGTCACATCTCAACACTCCTATCAAGGTACTTCAGGTTATAACACAGCTTGAATATTGATAAATTACAATGAAATGGTATTCTAGTAAATTACTTGAGAGTTAAAGTTTATTTATTCTAGGACGATTTTAGAGCTGTTAACACAATCTCGATATTATATGTTTATTACTCAAACATAAAATGAAAACTGGAATTTTTCATTTTGTCTTCATATATTTTGTCGAAGGATTCATTTTGAGCAACTGTGAAATGGTTTTTCCAATCACCTATTTCACCTGAAACAGAAATGATACATTAAGATACGAACAAATGGAATTTTCGTAGTTCAGAAGAAAATTTAAGCGATCAGAAATGTTATTCGGTTCAAATAAGCATTTTCATGCGAACTTTGTTCCTTGAAAATCGTCAAACCATAAAATTGCAACACAAAAGGTGTAAAGAAAACAACAGTACACACGAAAATAAAATGCAATATATTTCTCTTGACAGATGTCGTGAATAGCCAGATAAAAGAGGTGGATGGGTTTTGTCGTTTAGTATTGTCGTATTGTACGCAATAAGGGAATATGTACATATGTATATCCCTTAACTAAGCTATTCCTATCTCAACAAACATACTTCTGACACGTTTTTTTTCATTTAGGTGCATAAAGCGTCGGGTCTGGCGGCGGATGCAGCGACAAATAAGTTTAAGCCATCTTATAACATAGTTATGACAGACATACGATTTTGCCGTTTTTGCCGGTAAATGAACAGGTACAAGTTACATTGGTACGTACCTTTCCTGTAAATCGGTAGTGTTTTACTGGTTGTGGCAGTCTTCCACTGATCAGATGGCTTGAATGAATTCGTTGCTTCTACAGCCATATTCTTGAATGTACATTTATGTGTCACCAAATCTACATAATCCTCTCCGGTATTGGTTTCAAGGAACGCATCTATCTTCTTAACGTGTGAGTGTAAATCCTAAACGCAAAACATTAAAAAAATTACGATGAAAATAGATATAGTAATTGTTTAAATCTATTTATATACGTATTATATCTTCCCTGCTATATATATATACATACATATTGGGGGATTTTACAAGTGTAGTGTGACCTAGAGGAGAATTACTAAAATTACGTCATTTTCTTCTCATCTCGTCGCAATTTTCATTAAAATTCAAAGTCGTCAAATATGTAAGCAGTTAATATTCTGACCTTTGTGCACTCCATGCACTTGTGAAATGTTACATAGCACATAATGAAAATAACAATATTTTTACTAAGTATCACCACGTTTAGCGCTTGAGAAAGTAGGAATCCTAAAATGATATTTTGCAACTTGAATCCGCTGTCATGTTTCAACGTCCATACGAAGGGTTAAATATCATCAGAACTTAACGTCAACCCTGGTTATATTATAAGTCGTCTAGTTATTTTCATCATGATAGACCCTCTCGTTGATTTCATCACGACTGGACCCTCTCATTGATTTCATCACGTCTGAACCCTCTCGTTGATTTCATCACGTCTGAACCCTCTCGTTGATTTCATCACGACAGAATCCCTCGTTGATTTTATCACGTCTGAACCCTCTCGTTGATTTCATCACCACAGAATCCCTCGTTGATTTCATCACGTCTGAACCCTCTCGTTGACTTCATCACCACAGAATCCCTCGTTGATTTCATCACGTCTGAACCCTCTCGTTGATTTCATCACCACAGAATCCCTCGTTGATTTCATTACGTCTGAACCCTCTCGTTGATTTCATCACCACAGAATCCCTCGTTGATTTCATCACGACAGAACCCTCTATTATTTTACAATGACATATCCCGATCGTTTATTTCACCAACACAGAAATTCTCTCGTCTGTTTCTCATTGACAGAACCCAGTTTATTTACCAAGAAACATTTTCGCGTTTAATTCGTATTGAAAGAGTCCTCTCGTATATTTTGCCTTGACAGATCTCTGTCGATTTCAGAAGAGGAACAAATCTGTCTATATTGAGCAACTTAGAGTTGACGATTGCTTATAGAGACACAATAGATATTGAGTGGTTAAAACAATACACATATAAAAAGACTCAAGAGGGAAAGGCACTAGAAAAGATGCAATGATTTTATCCTATAGACTTACTTTACTAGATTATAAAGGAAAAAAAACAATGCAATTTCCACTCCAGATTATACTTACAATCAGTTTTTCACAGTAGATGGTTGGCATATTGGAAAAAGTTACTGACCGTCGACTATAAGTTTGGATTAGTAAGTCTAAATATCAATATCATACAAATCGTATATAAACGAGAGTGAAGAAGAGTCACCTTTTTGAGTTCTTCGTAGATGAGAAACATTAAATTATCTCCCTTGTATTCCTTCTTGGTTTTGTCCCAAGCCTGTATATTTTCAAACCAGGAGCCATATACCACTGAAGTATAGAATTGAAGCTAAGTAATAAAATCAAATTTTAATACATATTGCAAAAGGTTATTAAACACATTTCATTTCATATTTCTTTCACTTTTAATGTTGAAATGTATACTCTAGATTTTCGCTTGTCTGATATTCTTCTGTGGTCCTTATGCCTTTAATCGTGTTGTCGAGACGTTCATATTGGGGTATTGACACTACCGACATATGTATGTATACATTTGTTTAACTGATATTCATCTTTACTTTCCTGATAGAAGCACAGCATATATGCTTATTGGTATGTTCTCGATGTTTGTCCTTTAGATATTTACATTTTAACAATCATTGTTGATTAGAAAAAATCTGCTGCAATGACCTGCCGTCTCAAACGTGAAATACGAAAGAGTTTAAAAAGGTGAAAATGTTATATCTACTCGTATTAATGTTATGTCGTTATCGACAATATAAACTGTTCAGATCGATATCAAATTATTTACATTTTTCATCTAATAATACATTTCATTGAAATAATTGATATATATATATATATATATATATATATATATGAATGAAAATTCTTGGACGTTCCCAATAGATAATTGGAAGGTTCGTCTTAGTGAAATAATGCTTCATTTGTATAAAATTCAAGGTTGATAAACATTTTTAAAACGAGAAACCTTTCATTCAACGGAGAATTAGAAAAAATTAACCAAACGGAACATTCGTTCAGAAAATAAGTAGATTGCGAACATTTCTCTTAAAACGTAGAAAACCAGTTGTATACTTTTTCCTTCAACGTAGAATTTTAGGAGTCCGTCCCAAGTTGCGATGACGTCAGAATAGTCTAGCTTCTTGACGAATGTATGCAGGGATACTGCGACGTCCTTTGGGTTTCGAAGTGCAACAAGTATCTTTCCTTTTCCTTCTCTGGCTTGCCGAGGTAGACGATCAAAAGTCATGTGGGTGGCTAGTATTCGGGGAGATGGCATATTGTTTAATGTTTCCATTTCATTAAAGTCCATAAACATAGGTGATCCATGATAGGCTGTGTCTCTGGTTCGTAACATACTGGCTATAGTAAAAACCCAGTGTGTGCCTGAAGGAAACAAGAAAGTAAGTATAGTGTTTTAAACATTTCTGATTTACAGTCATATCACAAATCTCAAGCCCCATCATACAGATGTTAAAGAAATCAAATTGTGTGCATCGAATAGTTAATAAACACAATTAGACGACATAAGTCTGTAACTATAAACAACATCAGATCGGTTGTAATAAACAACTTTGCAAATAAGAATAACAAATATCATTCCACAGGATCATTAACACTATGTTATGCTAGAGTAATCTTGACATTGAAAGCCAAATTGCCAATAGAAATTCCGAATTGGTGGAAACTGTTCTCTTAGAAATTTGCACATTTAACAAACTGTATGAATGTATGTGTCTAAGATAGCACCAACTTAAGGTGTACCATTATCTATTATATCAGCTCTATTGCTAGCTGCAGCGAAGTATTATCTACAAACTGTTTGTTGTCCCTGATAAAGTTTTTGTCCGTTTTAGCTTGTTTCATCAATTTTATTGTTCCGGGGACCACCATATTTCCAAGCGAAAACCATTCTAATACCATGTTTAGTTAAGGTTATTTATGTTAGTGATTGTTGTACTTACAACTAACGATGTGTGAGGAGGGGGAATGGGATGTGTGTGGGGAGGAGGGAATGATGTGGATGTGTGTGTGTGGGGGGGGGGGGGGGGGTGAGGATGTGTGTGGGGAGGAGGTTAGGTTGTGTGTGGGGAGGAGGGGATGATGTGGATGTGTGGGGGGAGGGGTGAGGATGTGTGAGGAGGGGGAATGAGGATGTGTGTGGGGAGGAGGTTAGGTTGTGTGTGGGGAGGAGGTTAGGTTGTGTGTGGGAAGGAGGTTAGGTTGTGTGTGTTGCGGAGGGAATGATGTGGATGTGTGGGGGAGGGGTGAGGATGTGTGTGGTGGGGGAATGAGGATGTGTGTCGGGAGGAGGTTAGGTTGTGTGTGGGGAGGAGGTTAGGTTGCGTGTGGGAAGGAGGTTAGGTTGTGTGTGTTGCAGAGGGAATGATGTGGATGTGTGGGGGAGGGGTGAGGATGTGTGTGGGGAGGAGGTTAGGTTGTGTGTGTGGGGAGGAGGGGATGATGTGGATGTGTGGGGGGTGGGGTGAGGATGTGTGTGGTGCGGGGAATGAGGATGTGTGTGGGGAGGAAGTTAGGTTGTGTGAGGGAAGGAGGTTAGGTTGTGGTTGGGGAGAAGGTTAGGTTGTGTGTGTTGCGGAGGGGATGATGTGGATGTGTGTGGGGAGGAGGTTAGGTTGTGTGTGTTGCGGAGGGGATGATGTGTGTATGGGGAGGGAGTGAGGATGTGTGTGTGGGGATGGGATGAGGATGTGTGTGGGGGAGGGGTAAGGTTGTGTGTTGGGGGAGGGGATTAGGATGTGTGTGAGAGGAGGGGATGAGGATGTGTGTGTGCGGAGGGGGTGAGGATGTGTGGGGGGGAGGGGGGAATGTATGTGGGGGGAGGGGATGATAATGTGGGGGGTGCTATGCTTTACTGCGACAGTCATCTCTTGAAGAAAATAGCAAATGTGAAGAGGAAAATATGAAACAGGCTATACCTACAGGTTATCAGGTGTCACAACATGTGACAGGATTTAAAATTATCTTACACACAATATGACATGGGCACCCTGTAGCAAAAACTGAGTAATCATGTGTAGTATGTGGGAATATTACATTGACAGAAAGTATAGTCTTATTGAGTTGTCACATGATTTAGTGACCACAATTACTTAATTACTTTTGTTGGCATATATGTACTTCTTGGTGAATCAACAGTTATTGATTACAGATAGCGATCTCTAGTAAATTCGATAATGATCGGTTGTAATGGTTTGGTTCCGACCGAGAGCTTCATGGCTTCTAGTCTCGTGTTACAGTAAAATTTGGATTTGAAAATAGAACTTTGTCATCCTCGTTACTCAGGGTGAACTCTTATTGATAGATGTAATCCATTATGTTTGTTTCAACATGGTGACTGTACAATTAAACGCTTTTTTCAACCTCGTTAACTAATCCAGTGATATAGGTTTTATATGACATTTGTGTTATAATCAGCATAACGACTCTGGTTTATATGTACCATCATACCTGTACTAAAGTACAAACCTGATTTTGGGTAGGACAATAAAAATGTGTCATCATCTCTGACTTCCATTTCCTCTATTGCAGACAGATGGTCCTTAATATTGCCAATAAAATGACTGACATAGTACTTCCCATCGTACTTCTTTGTTTGCAAAATGTTTCCGTCTTCGTCTATTTCTTTCACCCACTCCGCCATGTCTTGTTTACTACACAAGATATGGGTCACGTGCTACCTGCTACTGATAGGGTAACACACTGTAACTGCTGTGTGTGTATAATAACCTTCACCGAAACAGCAGTGTCAATATCATGTGTATGATAATATGTTACGTAATGGGAATCCGTTTAATATAGGGCACCAGGTCGTGCGGTAATTTGAATTATTCTTCAGTCAAAAAGGCAAATGGCTCTGTTGCATTATTATATTTCCTGTGCAAATGAAGGGAGATTACTGTACTTGTACTGGTTCTTCAAATGCAATCCATTCTTTTCCGATTAATGTTTGAGTAGATCGGGATATATATTTTGTTTTGTTTTTTTGGGGCTTTTTATAGGTGGGTGGTGCCATTACTTAGAAACATATTGATATAACTGGTATAACAACGGAGTTGACATAAATATACATGGTAGTGCGTTTTACCACTGATTTGACATACATATACATGGTGGTGCGTTTTACCACTGATTTGACATACATATACATGGTGGTGCGTTTTACCACTGATTTGACATACATATACATGGTGGTGCGTTTTACCACCGACTTGACATAAATATACATGGTAGTGCGTTTTACCACTAATTTGACATACATATATATGGTGGTGCGTTTCCCCACTGATTTGACGTATATATACATGGTGGTGCGTTTCACCACTGATTTGACATACATATACATGGTGGTGCGTTTCACCATTGATTTAAAAAAACATATACATGGTGGTGCGTTTCACCACTGATTTGACATACATATATATGGTGATGCGTATCGCACAGTTGTGAACAATGTAAAGTAACGGATCAGACCGGGAGACGCGATCGTGTGCTTACGTCTAAACTAGTTTGGACAATATGTAGATAAACCTTGTGGTGTCCTTCGTGCTAAACAAACACGAGACAAAAAAGTTCCGAAGTGTTTTGATATAGGTACAGGTAGATATTAGCTGATGTAACGAGATCTTTATCAGCACGAGAGATTGCTAAAGATTTCCTATAGTATACCTGTTACTGCCTCCTTCGTTTTGATTGCTTATTAGTATTCAAGATGTCTAATTACAGCAAGTCGAGACTTCTTTGTGTGCTTTTCTTCTTGTGATATCAGCCTACGCCAACCCGCCGAATATCGTATTCATGGTTGCTGATGACTATGGTGTGTATGGTTGTATTGGATATTCAATTGTTCCAGTACTGTGTCTCTAAGACTTTCTCGGCGAATTGAAGATACTATCACGCAGTTTGATACATTGTTCCAGGATACATCATTCACATTCAGTAACAACCCTTTAGTTTTCTTCTTATAAGTCCCTTCGTATTTAATATCAACCATGTTCTCGAGTTAACTAATTATGGATAACAACGATATTGTTTTATAGTCATTATCATGGGTAAAACATTTCGCAGTTTTCTTTCAAAAATATCTATTATATTCTAAGTGATATTTAGTTTCGAGAGCTAGATTTAAAATGACATGTAATACACATGTGTTTATTTATTTCACGGTTGATTACATTTTCACGATCACGTTAATATTCTGCGAAATAGCGAAAATATCAGCCCTCGAAAATAATTGGCTATATGGTATTAAAGAAATATGTATCTTCTACGGTTTGAATGATGTGGGCTTCCACAACCCCAGTATGATCACACCCATCATTGACAAGCTAGCATACGAGGGAGTTATACTGAATCAGTCCTATGTACAGCCAGTATGCACGCCGCGAGTATCACTTCATATATTAAGGGATCATCTGACAGAGTTGAAAATGTAACATTGTTCAATAGTTCAATGTTACCGTGGGAGTCATGTGATATCGTATAGAGTCGATGATACCAAGAAAGTCAAGTGACGTCGTGTAGAGCCAATGATACCCTGGTGGTCATGTGACGTCGAATAGAGTTAATGATACCTGGGAAGTCATGTGACGATTTATAGAGTCAATGATACCTGGGAAGTCATGTGACGATTTATAGAGTCAATGATACCCGGAAAGTCATGTAACGTCGTGTAGAGTCAATGATACCCGGAATGTCATGTGACGTCTGTAGAGTCAATGATACTATGGTTCTGTGTAACCTTGCCGTGTAATTTCAATTTCACTAGGTGCACCATATACAGCGTTAATGCACTATGGTCTTCATTTAACATAGTTGTGTACTTTGAACGGATATTAACAGAATGTTTTAACGTATGTACCTATCACAAGAAAGTAGATAGAAATTTTGTTTCATTCACAGGTCTCGTAATGCTTTTATGACAGGCGTGTATCCTTTCAAAGCTGGTCTGCAGGTAAGTATCCAAACCATATTGAAATTCATTACAGAGGAAACGGGAAAATATTTTACTTTCATAATTTATCTACGTCATTTAGTTTAGTTGCAGGTGAATTATTCAGCAATGTTATTTCTGAAGAGGAAAATCGCCGGGCTCATTTCCCATTAAGAATCATATAATTTGGCAACGACCTTGCAGTACAATCATAGTTTTCTCCCCGGAGATACAAATCTGTAGTTCTTTTATTTGTTTTGATTTCTGTCTAAATGTTTAATTATGTTTAATGTTTATTAGACTTCTACTAAAGAGCTGTTTGTAATTTATCTCTTCAAGGCACTCAACTTTCGTAGTTTTTCAAACTGATTTTCAAATAAAATTTTGGGCGCTTGATTTTGCGCATGAAATGTACCCCCACACAGGAAAACCACACAAAATGATAAATATATATACATTTATTTGTTTCAATTGTTTAAATAATGATCAGTTGACATGACTTTAACTCTAAGTACTAAGAATGCTAAACAGAGCCTAGATCCCTCACGGATTTTCGTTATTCTATATTACATGTTCTCCTGGTGCTTCGAAGAATAAATAACAAGCATGTCATATCCTTTGATTTATAAGTGAAATATATTGAAAAGTATATGTTACTGACAATGAAAACATCACAGCTGTTATATATATGTTATTTCGAGAATGAAAAACTAGCTATGTCGTTGGATTTCGGTAACTCATACAACAAATTTAATTGTTAGCACCATCCTGGGGTCCAAAAGCCGTTGTAGTTTTGTGGGTTAGATGCAATCGTGAATCCTGGGAAGTTAGCTGGTATCATTTGGGCGTGGTACACAGCCATCCTTTTACTGAGTTGATCCGCTATGTCTTTGTGTGATAGCGAGAGGTCTTTGTGTTCATTCGGATCATCTACACAGATAACAAAAAATAGGTATATCACAACATCTAGAATTTCTTTGTTTCATCAATGTATATATATATATATACATAGTACAAGTTTAAATAAAAGCAAATATATATAAAATAGAATAAAACATTCTTTTAAATGAAGCAGAGTTGTCCCTGCAGTCACCTAGTTACTATGTTTGATTGAAGAAAAAAGGAACAGATGATCTTTAAGAATACTTGCATAGTAAATTAACTTCTGTATGAGAGAAATTGTGTAACGTAAACGAATATTACCCTTTAAGTTGAAAAGTTGTCTCTGTCCATAACTTGCATGTTGCTTCTCAGTATTGTTGTGTGATTCGTCTGACACCGTTTCCGGTTTATACCAGCCTGGATATTGTCCTGGATAGCCTTCGATCAGCTTATAATCACCAACTCTGTTATACAAACATTTTATGAAACAGACTATAACTGAAGAGACCGCAACATATAGATATGTACATGCCTTAAAATTTTCATCTTCTTTTACTTCTTTTTGCTTTTTTAATGCGTGAAATATCTTTGCCTGCCTGTTCGTTCTTTAACAGAAATGATGGAACGCCCAGTTTCGAAAAATTTATCTAGTAATGTTATAGTAAGCGATATACGTGAAGGAAAGCATTTGGCATACAAGTAGAGTAGTAAGATTATCTCACACAACAGTACAATAATACAGAGAACACCATACACAGATGGGCTGATAACTGGGGATTTGAAATTTCAAAAGACAAAACCGTACCTATGTCGTTTTCTAGAAGAACCAAAACACCAGAGCTCTACTTAAGCGCTTAAACTAAAATTTGTCTCAAGAACACAATATTTGGAAATGATGTTTGACCAAAAATCAACTTGGGTACTCCGTATAAATAACATGAAAGAAAACTGTAAACGACCTCTTAATACAGTTATTTACATTTCGGGAAACAGACTAGGTTTACATAGAATAAACCATTTTCGAGATAAAACAGACTGTTCATGATAGTATAAAGAATAGAACGGACAAATCAGTATTTCTCTATTGCTATTCAAGATGTAACCAGTGAGAAGTAACACATTACTCCTTCTAAACACATAGCCTTAAACATACCAATGTACCAATTTAGGGATTCTCAATTTTTCAAAAATTAAATCTATCCTAGATAATCCCAACCTAGCATAACAGTTTCTACATCTACAAAACTTACCTTGCCTTAATCTCTCATAACCCTTTTTAATTCAGCGCCTTCACACAGATCTCATATATAATTGTGAAAAGACGGACTAGTGAGCAGATGTATGCAGCCGGAGTGGAGTGGATTATCAGAAAGCAACGGACATTAGTAAATTGATGAAGTAGCTTAGTCGGATGATTAAAAAAACATTCAAGATGGGACAACCAAAAAATCAGTGTTAATTATAATTGCACCTGCACCGATCTAACTACTAACAATAGTCCGGCGGACGAGACTTTCAAGGGTGACCCGTAAAATGGTTGTTCATTCTCCATAAGCTCCCTCTGTATCCTTTCGAAAAAGAGCAGGCGTGATAACGCCGGTCCAGGGGTTTAGGGATAGTGTTAGGCTATACAATTTTCAGGCATTCGCAATTGTTCTAATCTAAACCAAATCTATGTAGGTCCCTAATCCCTCCTTTCCATTTCTAGACATATTTCAAACTGCTAGAGATAACATAGGCATTAAACAAAAACAAAAGGCAAAACCAAAACGTTTCCATTGGACAAATGTATGTGTTAATGTGTCCTGAATGTGAGGAATAGTTTTGTATACTTCGTTTACCTAATGGCAGCGTGGCCACATATAGGCGGATTTTCGTCGTCAAGATTATAGATAAATTCTGTCCTTTTTGATGCAGCACCAGTCTTGAGGCTCTCCCACTGGTCAATGCCATCCAGATCTGTGTCATCTGTAAATAATGAAATTGATTCATACTTAAATTGTACCATTATTAGTATTAGAAAGCTTTGCTAAAATGTGTTCTTTTAAGTTCAGTTTTCCATAATGAATAATACGACTTTCACTTTTGCCATTTTGTACACGAGATTGCAAGTGTTTATGTAGTATTCAAAAAAATTGCGTAATCCATCTTTCGTTTACTTGATTTGATAAGGATTAAATTACATACCAGGTTTTCCTCCTGCCACAGACAGTATAGTTGGCATCCAATCAACGGCGTGCATCATACTGGAAGATTTGAAAATCAGTACGTAAACGTTCGGGCTTTGTGGTTTAGACTGAATCTTGCGGAAGATCATTATCAAAATAGTATTCATATCTCTTACGGCGACCATTGAAGTAGACTATATGTTACCAGCCATATCTGTATTTCAATTTCCTTTTACCAATGAAATAGACTCTATGTTTCGCGTCATGTGGTCATTACAAATTCTGTAGGTCATTGGAAAAGTCTATAAATTACCCATCATATGTATAGCCTTTCTTCTCTAGTCCTGCACCGCTGATAAAGGCTGTTGCACGGGTACCGCCTTCATATACGGTAGTCTTCCCACCACGTAGTGGGTAGTTATTTCCATGGTAGGTAGGCCATCCGCCATTCTGATCAAACATTTGAAATAATATATGCAATCAGTAAAAGCCTCAAAATTGATGAGTAAATCAACATTAATTGAATCGACGAAGACTTCCATCAGCTTAGATTGGCTTACGTAGGCAATATTGATCGACTTATACTGTATGACTGATATTTTTTATTTATGTCGGCGAAAACAGATTTGTAACTCATGTCTCAGAATTATTTCACTTACGTCGGCCGTGAAGACGAAGAGTGTGTCATCATACATTCCGTTCTCCTTCAGGGCGGCCGTCACATTCCCCACCAGGTCGTCCATAGCCGTCACCATACCTATTAAACAAACGCAAGTTCAGGATTCCTTCGTTAAAAGATACACAAAGACGACCTCTCCTTCTTGGTAAAGCTATTATTTCTGTCACTTATCATATGGGATTGAGAAAAAAAAATTGTCACCAAACGAAATTTTGTCTATATCACTCATCTTAGAAAAACCTCAATTTAACATATTGGTTTCCGCATTGTTAAAATTCGCATTACACTGTTTCGGACATCAAAACAAACAGTATCCGATATCAGAACATGCCTTTTGATAACATAACAGACAAAATATGAAAACAGATACATGCAACAAATAATCTTACTATTTAAACCACACTTTTCTGAAGAAAATACGATTTTATTATAAAAATCCTATCATACATACCACAGTATTTCCTCCTTCCTTCATTCTGAATACTGCTATACATGTTTTCATAGCTAACAGGTACCTTTAATTTATAAAGTAATATCGCGAAAATTAGAAAAAAAAAAAAAAAAAAAAAAAAAAAAAAAAAAAAAAAATAATTGTCATTTCCTCATTCTTGTATATTTTCACGATAAATTTCAGCTTTGTTCAGCTGACAAATATTCCTTTTACTTTATATTGAACTGGTAATTATGTTAAACCTAGTATATTTTGAGAGATTTTGTTGGTTTAATTCTATCCAAAAGTTAGACACTTAATGAATTCATATCTATTATGATACCTCGATCGGTGCGTGGACAGACTGGAAAGGTAAATACAAGAAGAGTGGTTTGTCTTTGTCATGATTTGAAATCACCTGGTTTGCACGCTCGGCATATATATACTGAAAGACAAAGTATCATTACAACGCCTTTGCTGGTACTTATCATGATGAAATTCAATTTTTGATAGGTTAGCATGTCTTTTGTGCAGAAATAAATGTTTTAATGTCCGACATGATCCAGCGAGATTCACTAAAACAATGTGCCTATTTTCCTTTCAGACGTCTTTTTATCTCCCCACCTGGAGATTTACAATATAACATACTTTTGGGTTAGCTCCACTTATGTGATAAAAAGAAAATGCATTTAGAAATTACCGGGTTTTAGAATTGTACAAGGATTTGATTACATTTATTTAGATCAATGTCCTGCCATACTTACGGTCGAATATTTCGTAACATCTGGGACAACAGCTTCTTTGTTATCACGGAAATCCAAACCGCCCACTAACAGAAAATAGAATAAAGAAACGATTTTTTTCATAACTAGAATAGGTAACTTATCACCACAGGATTTATCCGGCTTTAATCAGTTCCTAACTTTTTCTCTACCAATTAAATCATTCATGGACATTGCTAAGCATAAATTGTACGTATGTGTTGCACATAGGTCTCTTTAACATTGAGCAAATAAATACACTGTATCAGCTTTAAATGAAAAGGCTTAATGATCTTCTATAGTCACACAAGTGAATGACGCCTTAAATACAAAATTTGAGATAGATACAGCCGAGTAAAATAATGAATTCAACTACTTTATACAGCCGTTTCGCCCTTTCTTCTCAGTGATGCTGAGGGCCTAATTATTGAAACCTTGGAGCTGACTGAGGAAAATCCAAATAATTAAAGCTATAATTACCCACAGATCTGTTGTAGTAATCTTCCTTCCCGTTATAAAAGCCATAGAACGAGTCAAATCCACGGTAGGTTGGGGTACAATTCCAATTACAGAATCCAAGATGCCACCTTGAAATAACAAATCAAAAATAGCTAATGGAATTATTTCACTTCATCATTCATTCTTATGTCTTCATAGGAATGAGTTAATCCTAGACGGTTAAGGCATCAGTTCATTTTCTGTCCACTTCCTTCTAATTTACTCATCCATTATCCGACCTTTATCAACCTGACTGATATATAATTGAACACTTGTAACCATATACAAAATAACTTTACCTTGAATATTCTACAGTTTTTGGTTGTACTGCCATCACCATTTAAATCTATTGAATTTGTTTAGTGTCTTATTTTATGTTTACGTTATTAATACATACTTATCATTTACATTTCTTTCATCAGTCGTTCTTATTTCAGCGTTCATATTTACCTTTTGCTTCGTGCTGACTTAATCATTTATCTTTACTTTATCTTGTCACCCTGATTTCAATACTTACTTAACTTTACTCTTGATTCATACAACTCACACATTTAATCGTTTCCTGTACTTACTTTCCGATCATGTGAGTTGCATATCCTAACTTCTTGAGATATTGAGGCAGGAATGTGCGGTTAGTTGGAGAACATGTCGCTTGTGGCGGCAGAATAACGATATGCTGTAATAGATACATATATGATGAAGTAAGAATTAAGATCAGAAAGGAATATAACACGCTAACTGCAATATGTCTAGGTAAGTGCCATATATAGGTAGTTTGTTGCCAAATGATATTCATTAATCTATAGTTATACAGTAACCAGTAACCTGGTAACTACAGTATATGTTACTATGGTTCATTGGCTGTACTCTGCAAAAGCAAAAAGTTTTAATGAATTATACAATAACAGGGCAACCATAGTGTAGCTGTGTTAATGTCCTACACATACATTAATGTACACGTAATATATCTAGTTGTTTTTAAAAATTAACATGGAATACTTTTAATATCATGGTTATCTTAATACATAAATTGTACAAAATATACAGTAACAGCATAAATATTTAGAAAATGTAAAGACACAGTAAAGCCAACTAATGAAAACAACATAATACATATGTTTCGTCTTTCTAGGACCTGTCGGTGATCCTAAGAGCCTAAATTGTTGACACCCTGAAGGCGACAGAGGAAATCAAACTGAGTCGACAAGAATGTCCGAACTGCTTTATATAGCTGTTTACCCCTTCTAGGATTCGTCATAGATACCAAGTGTTTCATTCTACGGTCATTGTAATATACCCTGGGTTCGAAATGAGTGTTCTACAAGGTACCCATTGCTTATGACGGTAATTATTGCACATATGTAGTCACAGTAAAGTTAATTATCATACGTCTTCAGAGTTTTGTTTTGAATCTCCGGGGAGAAATCTATCATTGTACTGCAAGGTCGTTGCCAAATTATATGATTCTTAATGTGAAATGAGCCCGGCGATTTCTTCTCTTCAGAAATAACATGGCTGAATAATTCACCTGCAACTAAACTAAATGACGTAGATGAATTATGAAAGTAAACAAATATTTTCCCGTTTCCTCTGTAATGAATTTCAATATGGTTTGGATACTTACCTGCAGACCTGCTTTGAAAGGATACACGCCTGTCATAAAAGCATTACGAGACCTGTGAATGAAACAAAATTTCTATCTACTTTCTTGTGATAGGTACATACGTTAAAACATTCTGTTAATATCCGTTCAAAATACACAACTATGTTCAATGGAGACGACCCTAATGCATTAACGCTGTATATGGCGCATCAAGTGATATTCAAATTACACGGCAACGTTACACAGAACCATAGTATCATTGACTCTACACGACGCCACATGACTTCCCGGGTATCATTGGATCTATACGACGTCACATGACTTTCCGGGTATTATGGGCTCTATACGACGTCACATGACTTTCCTGGTATCATGGGCTCTATATGACGTCTCATGTCTTTCCGGGTATCATGGGCTATATAAGAAGTCACATGATTTTCCCGGTATCATGGGCTCTATACGACGTCACATGACTTTCCGAGTATCATTGACTCTATACGACGTCACATGACTTTCCGGGTATTATGGGCTCTATATGACGTCACATGACTTTCCGGGTATAATGGGCTCTCTACGACGTCACATGACTTTTCCGGTATCATGTTAATACGTAGAACTATTGAACAATGTTACATGGTATCTTAATTGCTGTTGAACTTACAAAAAATGTCATTTTATTCCTAGACTCATTTAATCTCGATAACAACTGTCTCACATGGTCCCTAAACTATGTGAAGTGATACTTACGGTGTGCATACTGGCTGTACATAGGACTGATTCAGTATAACTCCCTCGTATGCTAGCTTGTCGATGTTGGGTGTGATCATACTGGGGTTGCGGAAGCCCACATCATTCCAACCTGTAATGAATGTGTAACTGACAACAACGAACTATCATAATAGTACATGTACAAAACTATCGTTTTCATACATTGGAAATATATTGTCCTGATAAAGTTATAAATCATTTTGATTGCAAGAATGACATCTCTCAGACTCTCTGAAGGTCACTCGTTCTGACAATTGTTCTAAGTACATACAATGCATTTATAATCAATATTTCATAAAGATGTTTGGTATCATATTTAGCTTTTACATATCCATATCATTTGTAAGATTATATTTGTAAACAACACGATTTAAAGTTTGAGGAGTCATAGACCAGTTCAAACTTATTACAGTATGAAACATTTACATCTACAAATTATCGTTTTCTCGTAGTGTTTTTTATCATTATAGTCGCTTTAAGTGATACTAAATCTTACCATAATCATCTGCGACCATGAATACTATATTCGGTGGCTTTGCCTCCCCATAGCAAATCAACAAAAGAAACGCCCAGACATATGACACCAGCAATGATAGCAGCCCGTCCATGTTGAGTGTGTGTCGGAGAACAGACTTGTCTACCTGTGTTTTCTTCGTGTATCGCTCTTTTTAAAGCCGACACAATCTTATCCAGAGCTAATCATCATATGATGTTTGAAGTCTACATGGTCCGATGAGTATACGTCAATAATGTTCATGTGCCGCCGTGTACACAGATTCTGACCCCGGCCATAAACAAGCGCGCTATTCATTGCATGTTTTTTTCTGAGCTCGTGTCATAAAATAGTGCAGAAATCGAAACTTATATCAAATATGATTTAGCAGTGATTGATTACTGGTCGAAGGAATGGAATTAAGTTTTAATCCTAATAAAACGGACCTAGTTGTTTTACTGGTTCGGTAGAAAAACTTGATTTTCTGTTTAATTTTAATAACACGATGTTGACAAATAATGTCACACACAATCATCTTGGGGTAACTTTAAGTGAAAATGGAAAGTGGTATCACAAATCGCGAATATTGTCAAATCAGCCTCTAAACATTTGTCTGTTTTACGAAAACGGCCCCTTCTCTGATTCAAATTTCCTGTTGGTGGTACATTGGCCATGCCGTTGTGGTCACAAATCTATAAAGTATAAAGATTTAGGTCACTTGGTTTGTTTTTTATGGCTTCTCAAAGTTGTACCTTTCAGAAGCTGTCTAAGTGTTGATAAAATGTGCATGTTATGTAAAATATTAATGAAAATCTAATCAAATGATAGTCACTGTAAATAATACATTCGTGGCATGATTGTGACAAAAAAAATCATGTTTCCATCGCGCCATTTGGCTGTTTTATGGAAGAAACAATCTCAAAAATGCCATTTTCGATGATAACATTTTAGACACAAAAACTGTTTTTTAGAGAATACACCCTTTTATGGGCGTTGGATTCAAACCAATCTTTATCCTATTAAATAGTACGTCATATGCTATTGATGAGAGGAAAAATCATCAAAATGTAAGTGGTGGAACATTTTCAAATGTTGGGTTGAATTAGCCTATGGTTGAATTGCCGATTTTCGACTTTCTTTAGATAATTAACAAAAAAAAAAAAAAAAAACGAGAGTATTTGCTCGGTATGTTGAGAATATGCACACAGAAATGAAAAAAAGTGAGAGAAACACTTTTTCATAAAAAAAATCCAAGATGGCTACTTCACAAGTCCCCGTGGTTGAAGACATTGGCTGACAAATAAACAGAACAACAAAAAAAACGTGTCCCTTATGATTTTGGTTAGTTTTCGCATTTACGGGAGTGTTCATAGCTACGGGCGATTGTAAAATACCTATATTTATAAGTTTGGTTAGTCACATGGTAACGGGGATCTTTCATATCGAGCCCCAAACATACTTTCGACATATGCACGTTGTTGCCGCATGGAAAACTATTTCAAGTTTTGTCGGAATTTCTTTACCAGTGGTTGTAATGGTCGAGGGTTTTCCAGCGCCCTGTAATACCCAAGGTAGTACAAGATACTGGAGATGTGCGCACACATTCCCATCGTTCTCTCTCCAACTGGGCACTGGCAGTAGTAGTCCTTTATTGGGGCCTCAACATCGGGTGAAACGGTGAACCGTATCCAAACGTTATATTTCGTTTGGCTTTTGTGTCGAGAATGCATTTGACATCGGAGAAGGTCTGGGGGGGGGGGGGGGGGGGGTGCTGGTAAAGCTACACCTCATAGTCTCCGTCATCACTTAAATGTTCGGCGATGTAACCAGGAGCCAGAGATATCTGATACGTTCCACACGTAATGGTTCTCAAGTAATCAAGATCGAGACAGGGAAACAGTACGAAAGATGCATCCATCTTGACAAACTCGGACCTTGCCCGTCTAGTTAGATCCGGATCTATCTTGACTCTCTGAGCTAAACCATTCGGTGTTGTCAAACGGTCCTTCATACGTTCAGCCATTAGCCTATCTTTGGCATCTCTCTCTGGAGATCTCTGGTAGATCGGTCCTCTAATACCATTCAGACAGGCTGTGACGGTTCGAAGCAAAGCCTCAATGACATTGATAAAGCTGTTAGACACCAATTGCGTTCGGAAGAACGTCCAGTGTTTCAGACGACCATGATAGGATTCCACAATCCACCTCGATTTGGTGATAGTTCTGTCAAGATTTGCTTGGACGTCAGAATGTTGACTTTGACCGGGTTTCCGGTACGACGGCATGCAAGCATTGAGACCAGAGGCTTCGAGAACTGGTAGGACATCTCTAAAACCTCGGTCAACGACAACGTTGTCGTAACTAGCTTGTCCATGACTTTTTTTGTAATTGTAGCATCATTTTCGCTGCCAGTGAATGGTCCTACGGTGTCCAGAATGTAGCCATCTGGTAAAGCGATGCTCATGAACTTGACATAGTTTCTCTTCTTCTGGCCACAATAGGACATATTCTGGATATAAATATAGGTGCCATCCAATATGGCAGTGGCTTTATCTCCAAAAAATGCTTCTGAAAAGACAATATTGTGCCCGAGCAATTGTTCTCTTGTCAAGTGATCCGGACCTAGAAATTGTGGGACTGTCGATGTGTCTAATGCCTGTACTATGGAGTGGAAAGTTTTGGACACACTTGATTTGGAAATTCCAAAAAGAGAAGAACACTGACTCCAGAAAATGTCGGTTTTCAGTTTTACCCAGAACAGTAATAGAGCATCGTGTGTAGTCTTGGTATATATACCAGATGAAAGATATGGGGAACAGTGCGAGTGGATTTCGAGGAACTGATCTTTGGACCAACCTGTCCAGGCCATGCATGCCGAGTCATTTAAGAGAAGAAAAGCTTATTGTAAACGCAGACTGGTTCTGTGAAAGGACGTGCGACACCTCTAGGAGATCATTAATAATTTCGGACGATTTTGATGGTAACTGAGATTCCAAGGAACCTCTACCATCAAGGACAACCTCTGTAGACGGATCTAAGTCGTTACCAATAAGGTGAATGGAGCAGACGCGGGATGAGGTGGGACACCACAGTTTGTGTGAATAGATCAGGTGATGTCTTGCACGTTTTGGTAAAACTGATGATTTTATTCCATGTTTTGGAAAGGTAACAAGACAGAGACAGCATTTTTTGTGTGAAGATGATCCATTCAAAAGATCATGAAGGGTCAGCAACGGCAGGATATGGGACGGGGAGTCGTCTTCTTCCTCTATTTCCTGGTTCTGCTCGGGTTCAGGTTCAGGCTGATTTTTGTTCCGAAGATACTTCATGTAGCACTTCTGGCAAATAAATGCTTGTTCCTTTGCTGACATCAATCCTTGTTGCACCAGCGTATCTAGGAGCCATTTATATTTTGGACTATTTACATTGCGTGCACTTCTGTTCTTATTGCCACTACGTTTCTTGAAGTATACTTGACACTCTTCTCCAACACATTTACTCTCCATCTTGAAACAATAACGATTGGTTTATGAAGCGTATAAAGTAACAAAATAGCAAGCCACCGATGATTGCTGTAAACAGCTAATACTTAGTAGTTTGGTACAATTATGCGAAAATGTGTGATGAATAACGAACAACTAATTACACAAAATAACAAGACAATATAATAAATCACATTCAATACATTCAAGAAGCGCAGAATTGATTGATTTCTTAGAACAAAATAAAGTATTTCATATGGATAATCTATCTATTCGATGTGGCGTGGTCGGCAGGCACAAAGAAAGTGAGATAAGTCAGGGTCCCAACTCTGACAGAGCCACAACGCTTTGGAGATGGGACAATAAAACAAGGAAATTGAGACAAGAATAGCTAGCGTCGAGTGAATGATTTCGTAAACGTATAGACAAAGACAAGAAGATACGGATAATTGTACAAGGCCACACGATCAGAAAATTCAGAAGAGGACAGCTTGAGATAGAACAGTATTCATGTATCAGGGCGTCCTCAGTGTAAATCTTTATATCGATACTATTTATTTAGTCGTTACACATCATAAAACTGTCATGAAAATATCCGCTCTGATATTCAATATAAAAGTTTGTATATAATAAGCTATATAATAGGGTTACAGACAAGGTTGTTACTCATTTCCCCTTTTCTTTCAATTTACAACCACATTCAGGCGGCGATATGAGAACGTTCCATCACATGGAATTAGCTGGTTTTTGGTACACATATGAAACAAGTAAAGCTCTATCCGATTTTCTGATGGAAATTTGCATCCAAAACTATATAACGGGAGAAAATTGCAAATTTATGGTATTTTTCTTCATAATTGTGTCTCTGCAAGTACATTTCCATCCGAGAATATATTTTTTTTTATGTTTTATGAATAAACACGATGTTTTGGAAATATTTATCAAAAGAAATTTATACTATGTTGCGAATTACAATTTCGAGATAACCTTCTTTTATTTACGAACTTATGTCTTTGATGCTGAAATTGACAACTTTATAAAAATACATTTTCACTGAAATTATGAAATCTGGGTGTCGGAAAGGTGTAAAATTATTTTTCGGAAAAGAAAAAAACAGTAGTTGAGCTAGATAAGAAATTATACGGGGGCAGGCTCCTATGGAGAATTAACATTACTGGAAACAGGCCCTTTACAGTGAATAAAGAAATTTTATCTAAACCATATATTGCATTTATCAGACGTATTTTGGAATATGCGAGTGAAGTGTGGGATGGTTGTAACATTATACAGATTCAAAACAAACAAACGAAACAACAACAACAAAAAAAAAAAAAAAAAAAAAAAAAAAAAAACAAAACAAAACAAAACAAAACAAAATTGAAGCTGCCAGAATAGTCACAGGTTTGCATTTATTCGCTTCTAAACAGTACTTACATTAAGAGACTGGCTGGGAAAAACCTGAAGACAATACAAACTTGTGCCTAAATTCTATGTAGGCGACAGAAAATTAGGTCAGATTCATAGTAGACTCGGTCATGTTTGTACGGCTTTGAATGCATTATTTAAGTTATTTAATCTTATCACCAGCATGTGACTTCTTACTAAATAGAAAACTATCTAGACACAACATAAACGTTGATCAAGATGTGCTGTTGAGCGGGTCTGCTGATTTGAATCAGGCTGTTGTCTGCTTGGGTTAGGTCTCCAAATATTTCGACGAAAAAAATAACATTAAGATTCCGACATCTTTATTTTTTTCCAACAACTAATTAAAAAACCAATAGATTGGACACCTTTTCCGGAATTAAATATAAACTAATAAAACAAAAATAAAACCAACTGACAATATCCGGAATAAAGTTACTACCCCCTAGACCGTAAACATTATAGGTGGATATCTCATTGACCAGTGTCTCATATATATAACACAAGACCAAATTAGAAATATGAATCGACTTGCAAAAAAGTGCTTTAGTATCAAATCACTAATATTGGTTTAATGAAATGTTAAAATTTACGTACAGAAATTATTATTATATCTATTTATATGCATTGACATGGGAACATACTTTATATATTTATGTCATATTAAGTAAATTATCTGAACTACTGATAAAGGGAAGATGTCATCCTCCATCTGTAAACAGTAAAGTTTGTTTCTTTCTGTCTAGATATATACTGCTATAAACATAGATTTACTTTTATCATGAAATGCTGTTATTATAGGTGATTACAGAAGTTGACGTTCCCAAGTTGTAAACGTGTGTCCAATCGAATGTGTTTTTTTTTTCAAATAATATATGTTTAAATTAACCTAATTACCAATATTCCAGATCACATCTTTATACTTAACATAAATATCCACATTATATAATGTTGCTTTTAAACATTATTAATAATCGATTTTGTTGAAAAACATATTCAAGCGGTCTGCCTGCATTCTGTCCAACACGCATTAGGAAATGACCAAACTTTCCCGCCATTTTGTACTGAATTAACATGTAACCTTATAGGTGCCTCATTGCATACATATATCGTTATAACAGACAAAAAAGTGTTTAAAACCAGAATAAAAATATGATATTAAATTCCCAAAACTATATTCACAACTTGCCGCTTATGATTGTTGATTTTTAGGTGAGATAAAATAGTGTGTATTTCGTCAGGTACGGTTCAATTAGTTTGTATTCGGACAGTTAAAAGATAAAACAACACGTAGTTATATGTTGATGTTTTGTATTCTCTTCCAATCCGTTATCAGTTATCGATAAAATCCTAAAGTACATAGATGTATAACTGGATGTGATTTTGTCCTGACATAAAGAAACACTTAATCATAATAATATATGAATGCATTATATATGCTCTTAAACTTGGTGTCTGAAGTCACTGTGGTTTAGCATTATATACCTTCAGGGCAGTTATTATACCCTGTGTTAAGTCACACACACACACACACACACACACACACACACACACACACACACACACCCACACATACACACACACATACACACCATATCACACACACACACCCTCCCACACCCACACCCACACACACACACACACACACACACACACAAACAAACGCACACACACAAAAACCCACACATACAAACAAACGCACACACACAAAAACCCACACATACAAACAAACGCACATACACAAACACAAAAATACACACACACACACACACAAACTCACACATACAAACAAACGCACACATATGTACTTGTATCTATATCTAACAGAAAATATCTCTTATCCTACATCTTGTTCATGAGTTCAAATACCTATCAACATTTCAATCACATAGCTTTATCTGCTTGTGATCTAGTTGGATACAAATCACACTTGTCGAATAGGTTGTGTAGTAAATAAGACATGGCGGAGTGGGTGAAAGAAACAGACGAAGAGGGAAACATTTTGCAAACAAAGAAGTACGATGGGAAGTACTACGTCAGTCATTTTATTGGCAATATTAAGGACCATCTGTCTGCAATAGAGGAAATGGAAGTCAGAGATGATGATACATTTTTATTATCCTACCCAAAATCAGGTTTGTACTTTTGTACAGGTATGTTGGTACATATAAACCAGAGTCGTTATGCTGATTATAACACAAATGCCATATAAAACCTATATCACTGGATTAGTTAACGAGGTTGAAAAAGCGTTCAATTACGTGGGAAATAATTAAATGTCAAGACAAATCGGTCATAGCCTAGTGTCAATGACTTTGCCGCGTGACATTTTAAATACGTATTCACAAACATTCTTAATCGCTATGATGTAATGTATTGTTACATGTCGTCTGTTTGCATGTATTAATCTCGCTGCACACAATTTGATGTCTTTAACATCTGTTTGATGGGGCTTGAGATTTGTGATATGACTGTAAATCAGAAATGTTTAAAACACTATACTTACTTTCTTGTTTCCTTCAGGCACACACTGGGTTTTTACTATAGCCAGTATGTTACGAACCAGAGACACAGCCTATCATGGATCACCTATGTTTATGGACTTTAATGAAATGGAAACATTAAACAATATGCCATCTCCCCGAATACTAGCCACCCACATGACTTTTGATCGTCTACCTCGGCAAGCCAGAGAAGGAAAAGGAAAGATACTTGTTGCACTTCGAAACCCAAAGGATGTCGCAGTATCCCTGCATACATTCGTCAAGAAGCTAGACCATTCTGACGTCATCGCAACTTGGGACGGACTCCTAAAATTCTACGTTGAAGGAAAAAGTATACAACTGGTTTTCTACGTTTTGAGAGAAATGTTCGCGATCTACTTATTTTCTGAACGAATGTTTCGTTTGGTTAAATATTTCTATAACCTATTGGAAACATCTAGTAAATCTAAATTAGAGTTCGGATATACAACAATAATTTCAATTTAAAACATTTTGATGTTAACAATATTGATATAATGAAACTCACTTGGTATTTACACAAAGTATTATATACGGGTCGATAACGATGATCAGTAAACCTTTTACTCATAACGGACGCTAGAAATAACAAATAACAGTGATTTTATCAGTAAGGGTTTTGATAATGTTATCTGAAGGACACACATTGACAACACATACACAGCAACTATTAAAGCTACTTCTTCACGACTGAAACATCTGATTAGGACGTTTATCGTATTAACAGTCCAGCCTCATCATCTCGAAGTCAGCGTTACCGGGACTTCGAGTTATGCGAGTATTCGATTTAAGTGAGTTCAGATGTTAAATGTGAAATTTGGTCAGGAACGACGAAATACTTCGAATATAACGCGGCCTTAAAAGTTACATTAGTTCGAGATAATGATGGTCATTTAACAGATCTACATATCTTGGGTAATTATCAATAATTCTAATACTTTAGTTATCACGATCATAATGACCATACACAGTAAAACATCACTGATAAGACAAATATACTATAATTCATGTGTCAAAATTCAAAAGAAAAAATAAAAACATAACATTTAGAATTTATTTTTCCTTATCTAAAACTTTTTTATAAATCTATTTCTTGGCTTCAATTCTATTCTTCAGTGGTGTATGGCTCCTGGTTTGAAAATATACATGCTTGGGATAAAACCAAGAAGGAACACAAGGGAGATAACTTAATGTTTCTCATCTACGAAGAAATGAAAAAGGTGACCTCGTCGCAATCATTTATGTTATACATAAGTTTTGTAGTAAACTACAAGTACAAATAATAGCTCGCCAGTTATGATGTTATATTGGTCCCTCCTGACAATTATAAGAAATCTAGGTATACCTATTTTACACCTCATTATGCATAATATATTTTGTATATCTAAGTATTTTTGTTTCAAAAACTATCAGTGATATTGAGATTTTATCAAACAGTTCCCCTTCTAAATACGAGAGTGTTCTATTAAGGAAAAATAAACAAGATTTTTTTTTCACGATGACATAAACGAGAGGGTTCTGTCATTGTGAAACAAAAACGAGAAGATTTCTTGTAATTGTGAAATATATGAGAGGATTCTGTCATTATGAAATAAACGAGAGGGTTTTGTCATTGTAAAATAAACGAGAGGATTCTGATCATTATGAAATAAACGAGTGGGTTCTGTCATTGTAAGATAAACGAGAGGATTCTGTCATTATGAAATAAACGAGAGGGTTTTGTCATTGTAAAATAAACGAGAGGATTCTGATCATTATGAAATAAACGAGTGGGTTCTGTCATTGTGAAATAAACGAGAGTATTCTGTCATGGTGAGAAAAAACAAACGAGAAAATTTTATCATTATGAAATAATCGGAGAAGGTTTTGTCGTTATGAAATAATCGAGAGGGTTCGGAAATCATAAAATGGCACGGTGAAATAAACAAGAATATTTTCTAATAGAAAAATAGATGAAATGGTTCGTTACGTAGAAATAAACAAGAGGGTTTTGCCATGTTAAAATAAACGTGATTATTTTTTTTTTCATTCTAGGATCTGCACTCGCACGTTCAAAAGATGGCTGCTTTTCTTGAAGTCAATACCGAAAAGGAATTTGTGGACTTGGTGACACATAAGTGTACATTCAAGAATATGGTTGCAGAGGCAACGAATTCATTCAAGCCATCTGATCAGTGGAAGACTGCCACAACCAGTAAAACACTACCAATTTACAGGAAAGGTACGTACCAATGTAACTTGTACCTGTTCATTTACTTGCAAAATCGCATGCGCAAATATAGGAAGAAAAGTTTGTGTGTGTGTGTGTGTGTGTTTTTTTTTTTTTTTTTTTTATCTGACTTGCATTTATTTGTCTCTCCTGATTCAATGCTAGATTTACACGGGTTGATTGATAAGTTGTGAGCCTTTTATCAAAGATGTGTAGCAGGGATGTCCATTTTCAGCTCTACCAAAGCGTCATATGGTCAGTATATGTCGTAGGGGTAGCACACTAAATTTTAAAAAAGGCAAGTGACTTTTGCAAAATGAAGAATTTAATGAAAGAGTAGTAATTAAATATTTGCATATTTGCAAAAATCTAGCAACTTACGATATCCAGTTAACCATACTGATATCGTAGCAACAAGAGGAAATTATGTCTCTTCATATGCTACAGTGAAAAAGTGAGTGGCGGCATTTTAAGCAGCAAGCAGAGCCTTGGGGATGACGCCCGTCGTGGAAAGCGACCCCAGAAATGGTCAATAAAGTCCATGATTGTTATGGTTGACAGGCGAGTTACAGAGAGATATATAATCAGTGCAGTTGGGATTTTACGTGTAAAAATATATTCCATTCTTACAGAAAATCTTATATTGAGAAAGCTCTCAGCCCGTTTAGTACTAAGACTTCTGACAGTTGATCGGAAACACACTAGGCACATTTTATCGCGTGCTTATCTGAACTTTTTAGAGGCAGATCCTGTTAACTTTCTGCATAACCTTGTGGCTATGAATGAAACCCTGGTTCACCCCCGCCAAAGAAGGCAACGGCTGGCAGCTGGAAATGTTCTGGCCTCGGTTTTCTTGAATGCTGATGGTATTCTGAGGGTAGATTATCTGCAAAAGGGACAAAAAGTCAATGGCACATATTGTACATCACTTATTAGGCAGTTAAGAGAAAATATTAATATCAAGCACCGCGGGTTGTCTCACCAGGACAATGCGCCTGTTCACAAGTCTGTCATTGTCATGGCTGCCAATTACGATTGTGGCTTTGAATTGATTGAGCGTTCGTCTTATTCGCCTGACCTCACTCCATCAGACTTTTATCTATTTCCAAAAGTTAAAAAGTCTTTCTGAACGGTCAAGAAAACGACTTCTTTAAAAGTGGCATTGAGTCCCTTAAACATTGCTGCTGACAAAAGCATATATATACTGTAGGGAATTATGTTGAAAAATTATGAAATATGTCCATTAAATACCATACCCTTAAATATGAGGCTCACAACTTATCAATCAACCCTCTTACCTGTGTGTAAGAAATATGTAATAATGTTAAGGGATATGTATGTTTTCTTATTTAGCTTATTTCGTCCAATTCATGCCTGTTATGAAGAGTCGACTTGTCGATCTTTTCTTTGGAATACAAATTAAAATATTTCCTCCAAACTTAATAACAACACTTTTTACTTGTTATATGAGCATGCTTTTTATCTTCCTCATTCCATTCGTGTCTGTCATATAATTTATTTTCTGTTCCAGGGGAGATAGGTGATTGGAAAAACCATTTTACGGTAGCACAAAATGAATATTTCGACAAAATATATGAAGACAAAATGAAAAATTCCAGTTTTCATTTTATGTTTGAGTAATAAACATATAATATCGAGATTGTGTTTACAACTATAACATCGTCTTTGAACAACTATACTTAAACTCTCATCTAATTTTCTAGAATACCATTTCATTGTAATTTATCAATATTCAAGCTGTGTTATAACCTTAAGTACCTTGATATGAGTGTTGAGATGTGACACGGCAAGATACATCAATTCAAATAGGAGTGAAAGACATAAACACCAGGTGAAACTGATTCCAAAATATCAGCAAAGCTTCAGAATGTATAACGTTTAATTTAACAAACTCGAATTAACACCAGACAAAGGTAAGACAATTCTGGTCTGTAATGAAGAGGCGACGTGTCGATTCCTTTCCTTTGAATAAAAGTTTGACATCTTTCCTCCAGACTTGTCACTTGTTTGTTTACTTTATCATACATTTACGAGAGGCAGACATGACCCATGCTATCTATTATGTTACATGCCTATACCTTAGGTGATCGATCCTTAGATAACCTGAATACGTAAAGGCCAAAGCCAATGCAATATTACTCTCTGATAATTATAATCCCGTTGGACCTTGATACCCCTCGAGCTCAAATATTATTAAAAGGAATGATGTGGTTTCAATTGCTGCTTATCAAATAAAACCACAATACTGAAAATAAATTTTGGAACAATTTCAGGAACTAAAGTTATATACAACCGTTAAAACATATACGTTGGTTAATGACGTTAAAACTTAAATACATTTTTATACTGTTTTTTAATAGTTGGTTAGGTTTAACATTTCATCAGCACATAAGGCCATCTTTAGATGGCCATCCTATACATGTGAAGTGAATACCCGTTGTAGAATGTTGTTATGTTCAGATAAGTCAAATGAAGTACAGATGTATGTTGCTGAAGGCCAGCATCCCATCCTATCACATTATTGTGAGAGATATTTTCTGTGTGTGTATGTGTGTGTGGGTTTGTGTGTGTGTGCGTGTGTGTGTGTGTGTGTGTGTGTGTGTGTGTGTGTGTGTGTGTGTGTGTGTGTGACTTAATACAGGGTATAATAACTGCCATGAAGGTATATAATGCTAAACCACAGTGACTTCAGACACCAAGTTTAAGAGCATTTATAATGCATTCATATATTATTATGATTAAGTGTTTCTTTATGTCAGGACAACATCACATCCAGTTGTACATGTACTTTAGGATTTTATCGATAAGGATTGGAAGAGAATACAAAACATCAACATATAACTACGTGTTGTTTTATCTTTTAACTGTCCGAATATAAACTAATTGAACCGTACCTGACGAAATACATACCATTTTATCTCACTTAAAATCTACATTCATAAGCGGCAAGTTATGAACATAGTTTTGGGAATTTAACATCACATTTTCATTTTGGTTTTAAACACGTTTTGTCTGTTATAACGATATATGTATGCAATGAGTCAACTGTAAGATTAGATGTTAATTCAGTATAGAATGTTTGGTCGTTTGCTAATGCGTGTTGGACAGAATGCAGGAAGCCAGCTTGAATATGTTTTTCAACAAAATCGATTATATGATAGTGTTTAAAAGCAACATTATATAATTCATGTTAAGTATTAAGATGTGATCTGGAATATCGGTAATTTGGTTTAATCATATATTATTTGAAAAAAAACATGGGATTGGACACACGTTTACAACTTGGGAACGTCCACTTCTGTAATCACCTATAATAACAGCATTTCATGATAAAAGTAAATCTATGTTTATAGCAGTATATATCTAGACAGAAAGAAAAAAAAACTTTACTGTATACAGATGGAGGATGGCATCTTCCATTTATCAGTAGTTCAGATACTTTACTTGATATGACATAAATATATAAAGTATGTTCACATGTCAATGCATATAAATATATACATGTACATTCATAATTAAGTTTTAGAATCAGTTTCTGTACGTAAATTTTAACATTTCATTAAACCAATATTAGTGATTTGATACTGAAGCACTTTTTTGCAAGTCGATTCGTATTTTTGATTTGGTCTTGTGTTATATATATGATACACTGGTCAATGAGATATTCACCTATAATGTTTACGGTCTAGGGGGTAGTAACTTTATTCCGGATATTGTCAGTTGGTTTTATTTTTGTTTTATTAGTTTATATTTAATTCCGGAAAAAGGTGTCCAAACCTATTGGTTTTTTTTAGTTAGTTGTTGAAAAAAAAGAATAAAGATGTCGGAATCTTAGTGTTATTTTTTCGTCGGAATATTTGGAGACCTAATCCAAGCAGACAATACTTCAACAAAAATAAATTATCATTATCAGCCTGGTTCAAATCAGCAGACCCGTTAAACAGTGCATCTTGATCAACGTTTATGTTGTATCTAGATAGTTTTCTATTTAGTAAGAAGTCACATGCTGGTGATAAGATTAAATTACTTTTTAAAAGATATGCATTCAAAGCCCTGCAAATATGACGGAGTCTAGTATGAATCATATCTAATTTATTTTATGGCGCCTACAGAGAGTTTATGCACAAGTTTGTATTGTCTTGAAAAACATTTTTTAAAATTTGGCACTGTTTCTAAAGTTATAGTTGACATATCTTACGAGTTCTATATTCTCAGAGTATTTGGGATAAAAAAATGTTGATATAAAACTTGTCAACACTTTGGTAATACATAATATTGACCAATTCTTAAATTATCTGCACTAATGTAGTTTACTCTGTTGCATACGGTGTCGTTAAGGAACTAGATTATGGTGCTTTTTCACAAATATAACTTTTTTGTCTTCAGGTTTTTCCCAGCCAGTCTCTTAATGTAAATACTGTTTAGTAGCGAATAAATGCAAACCTGTGACTATTCTGGCAGCGTCAAGTTTTTCTTGTTTGGTTAGAATCTGTATAATGTTACAACCATCCCACACTTCAATCATATATTCCAAAATACGTCTGATAAATGCACTATATGTTTTAGATAAAATTTCTTTATTCACTGTAAATTTCAGTTTTCGTAAAACAGACAAATGTTTAGAGGCTGATTTGACTATATTCGCGATTTGTGATACCACTTGCCATTTTCACTTAAAGTTACCCCAAGATGATTGTGTGTGACATTATTTGTCAACATCGTGTTATTTAAATTCAAAATCAAGTTTTTCTACCGAACCAGTAAAACAACTAGGTCCGTTTTATTGGGATTAAAACTTAATTCCATTTCTTCGACCAGTAATCAATCACTGCTAAATCATGGTTAATATAATATTTGATTTATGCACTATTTTACGACGCGAGCTCGGAAAAACACATGCAATGAAGAGCGCGATTATTTATTACCGGGGTCAGAATCTGTGTACACGGCGGCACATGAACATTATTGACGTATACTCACCGGACTATCAAGACTTCAAACATCATATGATGATTAGTTCTGGATAAGATTGTGTCGGCTTTAACAAGAGCGATACACGAAGAAAACACAGGTAGACAAGTCTGTTCTCCGACACACACTCAACATGGACGGGCTGCTATCATTGCTGGTGTCATATGTCTGGGCGTTTCTTTTGTTGATTTGCTATGGGGAGGCAAAGCCATCGAATATAGTATTCATGGTCGCAGATGATTATGGTAAGATTTAGTATAACTTAAAGCGTCTATAATGATAAAAAAAACACTACGAGAAAACGATCATTTGTAGATGTAAATGTTTCATACTGTAATAAGTTTGAACTGGTCTATGACTCCTCAAACTTTAAATCGTGTTGTTTACAAATATAATCTTACAAATGATATGGATATGTAAAAGCTAAATATGATACCAAACACCTTTATGAAATATTGATTATAAATGCATTGTATGTACTTATTTAGAACAATTGTCAGAACGAGTGACCTTCAGAGAGTCTGAGAGATGTCATTCTTGCAATCAAAATGATTTATAACTTTATCAGGACAATATATTTCCAATGTATGAAAACGATAGTTTTGTACATGTACTATTATGATAGTTCGTTGTTGTCAGTTACACATTCATTACAGGTTGGAATGATGTGGGCTTCCGCAACCCCAGTATGATCACACCCAACATCGACAAGCTAGCATACGAGGGAGTTATACTGAATCAATCCTATGTACAGCCAGTATGCACACCGTAAGTATCACTTCACATAGTTTAGGGACCATGTGAGACAGTTGTTATCGAGATTAAATAAGTCTAGGAATAAAATGACATTTTATGTAAGTTCAACAGCAATTAAGATACCATGTAACATTGTTCAATAGTTCTACGTATTAACATGATACCGGAAAAGTCATGTGACGTCGTATAGAACCCATAATACCCGGAAAGTCATGTGACGTCGTATAGAGTCAATGATATCCGGAAAGTCATGTGACGTCGTATAGAGTCAATGATATCCGGAAAGTCATGTGACGTCACTTAGAGTCAATGATACCCGGAAAGTCATGTGACGTCGTATAGAGCCCTTGATACCCGGAGAGTCATATGGCGTCGTATAGAGACCATGATACCCGGGTAGTCATGTGACGTCGTGTAGAATCAATGATACTCGGAAAGTCATGTGACGTCGTGTAGAGTCAATGATACTATGGCTCTTTGTAACGTTGCCGTGTAATTACAATATCACTAGATGCACCATATACAACGTTAATGCACTAGGGTCACCATTGAACATACTTGTGTACTTTGAACGGATATTAACATAAAGTTTTAACGTATGTACCTATCACAAGAAAGTACATAGAAATTTTGTTTCATTCACAGGTCTCGTAATGCTTTTATGACAGGCGTGTATCCTTTCAAAGCAGGTCTGCAGGTAAGTATCCAAACCATATTGAAATTCATTACAGAGGAAACGGGAAAATATTTGTTTACTTTCATAATTTATCTACGTCATTTAGCTTAGTTGCAGGTGAATTATTCGGCCATGTTATTTCTTATTGTATTTGTCTTGATTTCTGTCTAAATGTTTAATCTAGATACGTATTGTCATCCTTAGTAACAAAACCCAA